ACTATCATTTGCTGGAAACAACAGGAGGGAGAGTGCAATTGTGTTCAGGTCTTTGTGGGTTTCCCACAGGCATCTGGTTAGCTGTAGTAGATTGGTCATTGGCGTGATCCAGCAGCTTCTTCATATGTTATTATGTATTGTGACCCCCTGCAGTATTTACAAGCACTGGCACTCGCTTGGCCGCTTTCATTTGTTGTCCCAATCCTCAAGGTAGACCATCTCTCGCATCACAGGCAGGTTTCAAAACAACAACCAACCAAACCCAAATATGTAGCTCACCACTTTAAAAAAAGCAACCATACTACGATACGTCTGAATTTACAGTTGCCTGCTAGGCTGAAGTTTGCCGAAGGAGCCTGCTCAAGTGGAAGTGAAGTGAAGTTCGAAGAATGCCATTGGTTTTGCAGAATATATCACATGTGGCTTTTGCTGAGCGGCCATTTTGTTCAGGAGTTGTACGTCCACATTGGAGTGCACATGGAGGTCATATTCAATTCCAGAGATCTCTCTCCCAAAGCTGCTTTCCATTCATCACTGCTCTGGGCATGCAGAATTGAAACCATACCATTCAGCATTTGACAGGACATAAGATAAAAGTCAATAAAAAGAGAATAATTTATTAAAAAGATCTAATGTTACAAGAACAGTACACAGGAACCAGTATTTGACTGTGTCTTTCACATAGTATATACCATTATATATAGTAAATATATACACGCTGTATACAAGATATCTAACATTTTTGAGACGGGACTTTGTTTCGGTTTCTGAACAAAGTTCTTTTTTTTCTCCTCCTCCGATCATTTTTCAAAATTATCATGACATTATACAAAAATACAGCCTTCCCAGTTAAGTTGGACTGCTCTGTTACAATCTCATCCAAAGGAAACAGAAAAAAAGAAATCAAACTGACAAACCTCCTTTTGCAGCAAAACAGCCAAAGACCCCCAACCCCTTCAAACAAAAGAATATCATCCAGAAATAGGTGTCGCGAGATGGAAATGTCATCTTCTACAAAGGAGGTGGCAAACATTTAAAACATGTTTATTAATAGGTTGAAGATGCAACGTACAATGTTCTGCACAGGTGGAAAGGAAACAGACCCCTTTGCAACCCTGCAATGTAATTTGTCAATGGGATGTTGGGCTCTGGTGCAGCTAACTAAAGCTTGGCCATTCAGATCTATGGCACAATCTCCTGGACCTTACTGGGGACATATATCAGAAAAGCCGATTGGTCACGTGAGACGTGCTGCAAGCTTGCAAACATGCAGGGATCCCACTGCAGGTTATTATGGGATTCCAGAACATGCCTATAAGGAACTCTTACGTTCTGTGGACTGTGTTTGGAAAGCTGTGCTTTATATGTCATTCCCCTTTGTTGAGTTACAGTCATTGTTTATGATCCAAAAGAAGAAGAATGTTAGCATACAGGATTCCTGTTGCATGTAGTGTTGGGAGCAACCCACTCCCTGGTCTACATAATTTCAGCATTCCTTCATCAGTGGGGTGACAAAGACACCCCAAACCCAATTCATTGAGGGGTGTTTATTCAAGGTTCTTTTGATGACATCATGAGTTTCTGCGTCAATCTGTGCTTCTCCTGACATTGATAGGATCCTCCGTCTGCTTTAGGTTGGTGGGGGCAGAGAGGGACCAGTCAATGTTGGGATGAGCACTGTGTGTAGGTTGGACTCAAGGCTCCAGTGTGATTCTGAAAAATTCATCAGGATTGTACCAAGGCCCAGTCACCTCTGCGTACTGCAGGATGGGTTTTCCAAACTTGGGTCTCCAGTTGTTTTTGGACTACAGTTCCCATTATCCCTGACCACTGGGATGATGGGAGTTGCAGTTCAAAAAAAGCTGGAGACCTAAGTCTGGGGAACCCTGGATTAGCCTGTCCACTGAACTTATTTGTGGAGCTAGCCGGGATAACCAGATCAGAGCTGTGGTTGGTCCAGGAAGCTTTCTCATTAGGCACTGTCACTACACGGTGTGTGCTAGGGCCCAGAGCCATCAGGTAATATTCTGGCATTTTAAGATGTTTTAAGCTACATTTTGGAGATCATTGGTTGCCAACGCCAGTTCCTGACTGCGGAATGTCAATTTGCTACATGCATATGAGTGGCTGGAGTGGCTGTGTGTCCTACTTTACAGAGCCCAGGCCTCTATTGAAGGGTTGTCAGTTCTCTGTTTGAAGGACTGTCAAATTCCTATTTAATGATTCAGAACTGTAAGGAGAAAGGGCAGATGGGCCTCGAAGTCACTCACCAGATGTTCACCCCAAACACTAGGCTAAGCAGGCACACAAGCAAAACTAGAAGCCTTTCATTTCTCTTGAAAGTTATAGTCATTATTTCTAAATGAAATGTTCCTTCCTATCTTATGCAAGATTACGTTCTTCTTGATTTTTGTAAGCCATTGCCTAAAGGGTAGGGTATAAATGCTGCAAAACAGCAGCAATAAATAAAAAAATAGCAATAAATTAAAAAACTGCATTCACAATTAGCAATACAAATTCTATGCTAATATGCTTTTGGTGACACATAGCAAAGAATGACACTTTCCATAGCTGGTTCTTCTTCTTATTTATTAAATTTATTCGTTGCTTCTTCTTGCCCCAGGCAACTCAAAGTAACTTTTTTAAAATGGAAAGACCTGGTTCATCTTTCCTGAATAGGTTTGTGGCAATTGCACTCTTAATTTTCTGCTTTAAAGTTATGGACCTTCCTTTTTTATCACTGTAGAATTACATTCTCTCTCTTTGCTCACCACCAGAGGAAGCTGCTTCCTCCTCCTCCCGCCCCACCCAGGCACCTTTCAGCATGTCCTTCAATTGATTCATTAATTGCTGCTTTTTAGACTTAGAGGTTTATATTGTTAAGAAAGGGCTCTGAGGAAGTCTTTATCTTGCCTCTAAAACCTGCAGTGCTCATTCTAACCATTGTCTCGGTGTCACAGTGGTTTAGAAGTCCTTGTTCCCCTCCTTTCTAAGGGAGCATTATGCATCGAAAGATGAAATCAGGAGGTGGCAGAAAGAAGAAGAAGAGTTTGGATTTGATATCCCGCTTTATCACTACCAGAAGGAGTCTCAAAGCAGCTAACATTCTCCTTTCCCTTCCTCCCCCACAACAAACACTCTGTGAGGTGAGTGGGGCTGAGAGACTTCAGAGAAGTGTGACTAGCCCAAGGTCACCCAGCAGCTGCATGTGGAGGAGCGGAGACGCGAAGCCGGTTCCCCAGATTATGAATCTACCGCTCTTAACCACTACACCACACTGCTCTTCCATTTATTTTCTAAGGTGGGTGGTAATAGAATGTAGCAAAACACCCACCTGACACTGCACACTTATCTTACTTTGCCTGACATCACATTTTCACCATACATTTAAGGCGCACTTAAAGCACATGACTCCCCCCCCCCAAGAATTCTGGAAACTAGTTCCTTCTCAGAGCTACAATTCCCAGCACTCTTAGCAGCCTTCTGTTCCCAGGGTTCTTTGGGGGGGAGCCACATGCTTTAAATGTACGGTGTGGATGTGACCTGACTTTCTATGTGTCCTTTTAAAAACAGCGGCACCAGCCTATGTGGGAAATACCCCAAAGAAAGCAAAATAAACAGAAATCCCTGGATTCCATACATGTTTCCTCTCCAAAGAATCTAGGGCTGGCAGTTGCCCAAAATTCCATGACTAAATATGACAACCTCAGGCTATATACTGACTTGCGATGTCAGCATGATTCCTTCAAGCGTATATAACTTAAAAGTTGCTTCCTTGCCTGTACCCTTTGCGGCTTAGGGCCCTCGTATTTATGGGACCGCATCTTCTGGTATGCCCCACAGAGGACCTTAAGGTCCATGAATAATCATAGTTTAGAGGTCCCGGTCCCTAAGGAAGTCAGATTATCCTCCACCAGGGCCAGGGCCTTCTCAGTGATGGCTCCGACCTGGTGGAATGCTCTGTCCCATGAGACCAGGGCCCTGGAGGATTTAACTTCCTTCCGCAGGGCCTGTAAGACAGAGGTATTCCGCCTGGCTTTCAAGTTGAACTTAGCCTGATCTTTTATTCCCCTTCCTTCCCTCCCCCTCATCTTTTTATGAAGATTACCTGCTCTGGGATCCTATAGCTAATTCTCCCCTGGTCTCCCCCTGGCCCAAATAGGACTAATTTAGCCAGCTAGCCCTGGTGATCATCTAATGTTTATTGGATGGATTTTCCCGCTAAGTTGATTTTTGAATTCTGAATTTATTGTTATTCACATTTTATACTGTATTTTATGCTGTTTTTTGTTGCATCAATTAAGTGTTTTAAATTTGTTGTTAGCTGCCCTGAGCCTGGTTTCCTGAACCGGGAAGGGCGGGGTATAAATAAAAATTTACTATTATTATTATTACTACTATATTCACCACCCTAGAGCATACCCACATGTGCGTTTTAACACAGACAAGAGCAGAGGTATTTCGGCTTGGGTGCTCCAGTCATGAGAGACCTTCAGAACTTCACCAGATGTACATGCACACACACAAATACACGTCTCTTCACTCTGCATTGAAAAAAATGGGGAAATGTGTGGTACTGCAAAATAATCTCTGGGATTAAAATTGGCAGCAATGGTCCTAGCCCTTAAATGGACTGGACATAGTAGCCTAAATCAAGAAATGGGGACCTGTGATAGCACCAGTGCTCTTTTTCTAGAAAAAAAAGAGGTGCTGGAACTCACCATGATCGTCTTCGTTCTTCTCTTATAATGGCAATGGTGCCCACCTGAGAGGTGCCGGAACTGAGTTTCAGTGAGTTCCAGCTGGGGGAAAAGGCCTGGATAGTACCCATAGTCAGGGTCACATTCAGCTTTTTGTTTTTCCATTTTTAACTTCAGTTCCCAAGAGTCCTCACGAAAAAAGAAATTGCCTGCATTTTAATGTGCATTTTCCCCAATATATTTGTTGCGATTTGCCTATGTATATGCTTTTTGCAATCAGTTCCCCCCCAACAAAATTCATTTTTTTTGCATGTTATTTCCATGCATTTCTGTGCACATACTCTCATAATGTATTTGCACACTTTTTATTTCGTACGCATTTTGTTGTTGTTGCAGAACCGCATTGCAAAATTCAGAGGTGTGAATTTCAAAGGAGAGGTGCCTTCTGGTTTGCATATGGTTTCGGGAAGTGCAAGTTGGGTATGTCTGCATTAAAATGCAAACGGAACCAAATCTCTTGTTAGGGATGGTGGATGAATACTCCCGAAACTTGAACCGATAGCTCACGTAATATGAGTCAGACCAATAAGGTGTAACAAACTTAGTGTAGACAGACGCAGAAAGATGGAGAAGAAGGGAAGGGAGAGGAAGGAAGGAAGGAAGGAAAGAAAGGAACTTGATAGACAAATGGATAAAGCAATGCTAAAATAAAATGCAAGACAAAGAACTGAAAATGGGCCCAGTCCTATATTTGAAGATATATCCTGGATATATATTTGAAGATATATCCTGGCTGAAGGCCACTTGCTTAGAAAACAATGTCTAACAGCATCAATTCCAGCGTTGCTTTGAACATGGCATTAACCTGTTTGAACAGTGTACGCGTTTTTGACTGCAAATCCAGGCAACACCTGTTTCGATCTCGAAATGCTTCTTGATATCCTTCAGCTGAATCACCAAATATAGACAGTACAGTACCATACAAAAATGGACTACAAAAATAAAGGTCTAAAGACTGACAGCTGTTTGAGGATAACAGCTCTGTCTCTTTGCATTCATTCAGGGTTTTTTTGTTTACTTCCAGTTAGCAATGACTGGAGGCTATGATTAAATGCCTGGCGATGGTTTCATTGCCATTTGCATTCTCTATCAGCTATATTCTCGCTGTTAGAAAATAAGCATTTCTCTCTCTCTGTTATTAAGGTGGACAATAGCTGGTGCAAAAATAATACGGCTGCGTTTCATTCTTTGCCGAGCTGCTTAGAAAATTACCTTGCAGTGAAAAAAAGTGACTCGCATGCCCTGAGAATAGAAACAGAGCAGAAAAACAATAAAAAATTACCATAGTTTGCTAACTTGATGGGGCCTCATTCATTTTTTTTTAAGGTGGCATTTTCTACAATGATTTAGAAAAGGGACCACATAATGTAACTTTTGCCATTGTGTCTTTCTAATGGGGGGGGGGGAGCAATAAAGCCAGCCTTATGAAAAGAGGGAGGGGGGATTTAGACTCCAAATATTTATCAAACTTTTTTTTCTTAAAAAAACCAATCCATAACAACTCAAACAAAATAGATGTACTGTACTAGACGCCACAATTTAAACTACTAATGATACAAGACTGGTGTCAGCTAATATAGAAACGCATTAGAAAAGGAAAGTAAAATTGGACAGATTTTTTTTCATTTGCTTACAAAAGTTCATTTCGTACAATCTGCATATTTTCTCTGTTGGGCAATAAATATCCCCTCCCCCATAGAGGACATTTACAAGAAACTGAAGAGAAGAAACCTGATGAATTGTTTTAGCATTATTGGCCACCCACAACACTCTTCCTGGTGCACCATGTGTGTTTCTCGTGTCTTTGACCATTGGGCTCTTTGCCTTCTGCTTCCTCCATGGATACAGAATTCCATCCAGTGATGTTATCAGGCTAAACCAATCAGAACGATGAATGAGGAAAAGGTCCACAGTCTGTCTTCACCACGAGGTTGACGGGACCATTAGTACCAAAAGGAACGTTACAGTCGATGACGAAGTAGAGAAAGCACGTAGGCTTGACTGAGAACTTGTGACTTTTCCACCTAGGACAATCAAAACAAGAGACAGAAACAAAGAATTTTAGAACTGTGGTGTTGGAATTGACCCGAAGAATTGTCTAGTCCAACCCCCTATAATGAAGGAATCATAGCTAAAGAATCCCAGATAGAATGGTGATCCACGATGAGGTAGTAACTCCCTATCAGATTTTGGCATTTTGTAGTCCCTAACCCAATGATCTGCTGTGATTTTAACACACAAATACCTTGAGAAAAATTCAGCACAAGGGACTCTTTGATCCAACCCAGAATATTCATTTTTTTTTGTCAGTGTGGGCTTACTGGGACAACACTGAAGATTCATTTTAATTACAACAGGTCTGATTGTTTTTTCCAAGTAGGATGGCTCTGCCTAGCCAAGATGTAAAATAAATAAATAAAATGCAATTAACTTTGCATTTGGCAAGAAATTATGAGAGTAAATAACCTTCCCTTTGTTTATTTGAAATGCATGTCCTTTGCATACTTATTAATCAAGTAACATTAGTTATTGTTAATCAATGCAACAGTAAACAATGCTCTATGTCATCCTCCGTTTTAAAATTAGCACTGTCGGTCCTTTATTGGCTGAGTCTGTGTAAACAAACTAGGAAGGTAATGTTCTTTCTTTATGAAGTACTCTCTCTTACTCATGTTTTGTTGACAAGAGGACTCTGGTGGGACTCTTACACCCAACTGAGATTTATATCAGAACTTTGGACCTTTCGTTGGTGTTTCAGCAGAGAAATATGTGAGCACAAGTTTAGACCAGATATTTTCCTGATGTACACCAAGGGAAAAGCTGATGTGGTGCTGTTGTCAAAAAAACTCTGGATTGCATTATTGGTGGGTTTCCCACTTCCAGCCACTGTTGTGGAGAAAAGTGTGTGGGAGAGAGACAGTGTGTTCAGAAACAACCCTAAATTAACACTTGTCCACCTTTGCTTTTGCTTCTGTCCACCATGTGGTTCAAAGAAGAGTGCCTAGGAAAGAATGAGACCCTCAGGATTCAAAAACTTCTGCACCCCTGGTGCAAAGGATCATAGCCTGTGTGAGAACTTTCATGTTTCTGCAACAGCCGTTGCACATAAAACTCTGTAGAAAAAGCTTTCACCTTATTTAACCTACAGTCTTTTCAGTGGAGGGCATTCACCTGATCAGTGGAGAATCATCAAATAAATAAGCAATGAGATATCAAACATTGCATATGCACGTGTGGTTTGACCCCAAGGTGTTTCCAAGTCAGCCAGGAGGCAACATAGTTGGTGTCGTCCTCAACTGACTTGACTGGATCCCCTTTGATTCTGGCTGCAACATCAGGATTTAAACATTCCTTTAGAATAACAAGCTAACCAAGACCCCTAGGACTTTGCTCAATATGCTGGAAGCAAAACTTGAGATATAGAGCACATGGAAGAGTCCATGCCACTTTAACAAGCAGCAATGATACCATGCTATCTCATATATCGGTCACTGATAAGGCAGGATGTGTAATTTAGATGGATAAGCTTGCCACATCTGGTCTGTGGTATGACAATGGTGACAACACAATAACCCCCATCGTTCTGCCCAGACACTGAGGTCCAGCACCGAGGGCCTTCTGGCAGTTCCCTCACTGTGAGAAACCAAGCTACAGGGAACCAGGCAGAGGGCCTTCTCAGTAGTGGCACCCACCCTGTGGAACACCCTCCCACCAGATGTCAAAGAGAAAAACAACTACCAGACTTTTAGAAGACATCTGAAGGCAGCCCTGTTTATGGAAGCATTTAATGGTTAATAGACAATTGTATTTTAATATTCTGCTGGAAGCTGCCCAGAGTGGCTGGGAAAACCCAGATGGGCGGGGTATAGATAATAAATTACTGTTGTTGTTGTTGTTGTTGTTGTTGTTGTTGTTGTTACTACTGTACGTTTCACTTCCTTACCTGAAAAAGATGGTACCCTGATTTGAGAGCTCGGCATCCCATCCCCTCCTTCACTGACTGCGCGGACCTCTATGATATAGACCCCGACATCAGGGAGAAGCACCACTGCAGATGTTTTCTGTGTTTCAATGACTTGACTGTTGCTGTCACCTTCCTGCCTAAACAAGACCTGCGGACAATATGAACAGCTGTAGAATATCTAGCATCCAACATGGAAGCAAGGGCTAAGCAACTGAGAATTGGGCTTATGGAATAAGTAAGAAGGACAATGTGTATGAAACTAAGCATGGTATGAAAAGAGTGGATAGAGACAGGTCGTCCCCACCCGCCTAATAATCTGATGCCATTCAATGAAACTGAATGTTGGCAGTGGCGTAGCGTGGGTTGTCAGCACCCGGGGCAAGGCAAGTAATTTGCGCCCCCTAACCCGTGGATTTGCGCCCCCTAACCCTAACCCCCAGATGTTGCGCCCGGCCCCCCCTGCACCCCCCACGCTACGCCACTGGAGGGACTCCCAAGAAGGTGAAGCGGGACTTCACCCCAGGGTATCTCGGAAGCCCTCGAGGCAGCGACACTTCCACCCCCTGGAAACAGCAGGAAGGGAGAGCGCTCTTGTGCCCCGGTCCTGCTTTGAGTGCTTCTCATTGACGCGTCTGCTTGGCCACTCACTCTACATGGGCCCTTGTGGCCTTGATCCAGTAGCCGGGTCCTTCTTTGGAAAGAGCGAGCGCCTCCCTCCGCCCCCGCCACACGGAGCTCAGCCTGCACGTGGGCATGGCGCGCTGCTCTCTCCAGCTTCCTCCCGGCCGGGCCAGCGGCTCCACCTCTTTTCCTTTGCCTTTGAGCCGCTTAATTCCCAGCAAGCAATTAGCAGGCTCGCTCCACCTCCTCCTCCTCCCGGCTTTGCTGCTGCTGCTGCGAGGCTCTTTTCCTCCACCGACGGCGCGCTGCGCCTTGGAGAGGTTCCCGCTTCCTCGAGGGGGGCCGGCCAAACGCGCCCCCAAAAATGTTGCGCCCGGTGCGGCCGGCACCCCTGGCACCCCCCACGCTACGCCACTGAATGTTGGAATCAGGCTGATAACTGCAGGTACCTCACATCTGGCATCTCCATCAGTGTTAACCATAATTTATACTAACCAGAGTTAGAGAAGAGGTTTTATGGTGATTGATAAAATAGTGGCAGAGCACTGTAGTTAACACTCACCAGGGATGTAAGGAGGAGATGGGCAGGAAACGAAAGGGAGGGAGATGGCAAGCCAGCAAAATGTGCAAGTTCTTGCCCTGCTACCCTTTGTCCAATTAATGTAAGATATGAGCCTTCTGGACAGTGAGTGTATATGTTGTCTTGAGTGCTGTTGGAAGTATGTAAGTATTAAATGGGAGAGAGAGAGAGATGGAGGAAGAAAGCAATTGGCTAAAGTGTATATTCACATTTGCATATGCATTTGAGATTGCAACTAACACTATGGGGGTACATGAAAAAGTGTATGCATGTGTGAGTAACAGTGCATATGCATTTTTCTGTGGGGAGTGTGTGATCCAATAACCATTTTCAAACCACTTATGTGGGTAAAGAGCTTCTCATTCTCCAAAGCACCAAAAATGGAAGAGTGAAGCCAGATGCTACGAGTACAGATTGCTGATATCCCCAACACAATCATAACAAATCTCAGTATTTGCACTTCAGCTCCATAAAGAAAATATTAATTTTAATGGCATTTACAACACCTCATGTTTCTGCCTTTCCTTAAATCCTACTGCAAACACTGTCAAATTGAAGCGTTAGCGCGGATTTCACTGCAGTCTGTTCCTATTAATAGTCAAATGGGGCGGTCTTAACGGCATCAGGCAGCATTCAGTTCATAATCCACAGTTGACAATCACCATATCCAAAATATACTAAGGTATAAAGGTATTTAATTTGATTTTAAGGCATGGGTGGGTTGTCCTTAAAAAACGTAGTGCTTTTGTTTGAACTCCATGTTTAAAAGAGAAGTGGAAATAGATGGCGACTGGAGGGTGGAAGGAAAGGAAGTAGGGTTGAGACATCCATCCTTACAGGCTCTCTGGTTCTCTCTCTGAGAGAACAACCTTCCATTGATGCCCATGTGGAAGAAGGCCTCTGTGTGCATACGCATTGAGGAACCACATGCTCAGGCATGTTCTACGCAAGCGATTCCCCACCCCCACTCCCAGCCTAGTTACAGGGATTCCACAACCATATCTGTCATGGCGCTGTCAGGCAAGGAAGTTCGAGAGGACGGAATTAACTCTTTATTGTCAACAGACTGCAGTGGGTTCAAAGCAGAGTAAACACAGAATTCTACTTCACCCCCCCCAAAAAGAAACTTTTATAAATAAATGAAGTATTATAAGTTTAATTCTTTAAAATAGCAACAACAGGAACATCTTATTAGTTTGTTTAATTCCAAGCTGAAAGACATTGTTTAACCACTAAAGTTCCAGCGTTCCAGTGACGTTTGTTCTTTGTATGATCAGTTTTGTATAATTGGTTTTGTTCCATTCTGAAAATGAATTCATTTTATTATCCTATACGACTGTATATTGGCAGAGGAGGTGGGATTGTAGAATAGCGATGATCTTTATTGTCAAAAGTGCACTTACAAGTTAGGAAAAGGCAGGTCCATCAGTCCTATGTCTCTCAGCTACTTCTAGGTGCACACACGATGAGGAAGTTGCCATGACAAAAATTCACCCTAACCCTAACCTTAACCCCTGACCTCAGCTTATGTATCTTCCCCGACCGAGCTGTGCACAAGCAGTCTAAGACTCTACTTGCATGTAATCTACTTCTGCTCCTCCCTCTTCAATCCTCTTCTGATCTTGGGAGACAGTGGCCCAGGAGAGGTGGGGGAGGAGGAGGAGGTGTGAAAGCCCTTAACTCTCCACCAACCTGACCTCTCTCCCCCTCCTCCTGCACCTGTTTTTCGCTCTCCATTCCTGCAGCTTTTCCTGCCTCTGCCTCTCCCCTCCAAGCTGTTACAAGCTCCCCCGGACCATTCATCTCTTCTTCCAAGTCAGTCTCTAACCCCCCCCCCTTCTCCTGGAGCCCACTCATCAGTATCCAGCCACCACTCCTCAGTGCCCAGTCAGTCCCTGACAATACCTTAGCTTTGTTAGCTCAGAAAGAATGAGCTGATTGGCTACCCTTCCCTTGGATGCCTATGTCATGGCAGGTGCAAACAAGCCAAGAAATATTCCACAAACCATGGTTTCCCATTTTGTCCCAACCAGGAAACTATGGTTAACGGCTTTGGGAATTTTAAATAGCACTGATCAGCTCTTTTTGAGAGGAGGAACTAGAATTAAGCCCCCACATTTTGCTCTACCCAACGGACAGCTGATCAGTGCAATTGCTAATTGTTTGAGAAGGCTAAGCAAATACAGGCTTGGCTAATGGAAATCGACACATGGATCGGGGCCTGCGAATTCGATACTTTGGCTTCTCAGTGCTGAAGAGCCTTGCAATGCACAGTGTAAGATAAGGAAAAGAGAGGAATAAAAGAACATAGCATTCCAGAGAACAAGATGGTAGATATGTCGAAACTGACCTTGTATCCCATGACATCTGATTCATTAGCTAAAGGTTTAACAGGTTCCCATCCCAAGGAAACGTGGGAGCCATCTTGTATCCACATGATGTTGCTTGGCGCTTGGCTAGGAGCTGGGAGGGAAGATAAAAACAAAGAATGTTTTGAAGATACATGTTGGAAGATTGGGCAAAAGCACCCAAAGAGCCAGACAAGGTTCAGCGACATAGTCTCTTGTTCCAGAAGTGTCATTTCAATACCTACTGGATCATTTCATCTCCCCTTCCATGCCAAAACCTGTTAGCCTTATTTTCCTGAAAGATAACTTCTTGAGAATCTCAAATGCTCTCAGTCCTCCTTGGAATACAGATCCTTTGAAGTGAGCTCCTGAAGCCAAACAACACAGCAGCCCTATTTTGTTATTCAGCATCTAGTATCTACCTCTCTCCCACAAGGAAAGGAAGACCAAGAGAAAGGAATGGAAGCCTTATTAGGGCTGTACATTACGACGAGGAGAAGAAGAGTTGGGAACCTACGAGATTTCTTGGTGGTGGCACGGACGGCGCTGCTGGGTGGTCCATACCCTGCTGAGTTGTACGCCTTCACTCTCAGGTGGTATAATGTGTTGCCTTCAAGCCCTGTCAGAATGATGGATGACTCATTTCCTTCTGTCCTGGTCTTTTCAGCCGCTTCCTCTTGTTCCATATCTTTCCAGTAACCAACCTGCCAATGGAGAATTGTGTGAGCGATTGACCACAACACTCATGGGGTTCTTTCCCTAATTATGTACATTCATAATGTCCATAGCACAGCCCTCTTTGAGAAAATGTCAAGAGGCCTAGAGTAACTCCACTAAGAGGAAAGGTTGCAATGCTTGGATTTTATTTTTTTCCAGTTTAGTATGTGGGGGTGTAAGACAGAGGTGTATTAAATTACGGTTGATGTAGAGAAAGTGAATAGACATTTTTTAATCTCTCCTTCATATTACTTGAATTGGGGGTCTTCCAATGAAGCCAGTGTGGAGAGGTTCTTCAGGACAGGCGTAGAGAAGTACTTCTTCCCACTGCACAGAGTTAAATAATGGAATTCATTCCCACAAAATGTGATAATGGTGACAAACACCTTGGGAAAGGATTAGACAAATTCAGGGAGCATTGGTCTCCAATGGCTACATTTCCTCCATAATAATATGCTGATTTAGGTTTATAGGTTCATTTCTTTTATTCCCACCTATAAATAATTATATTAAACCATGTCCCTAGCAGTCAGAAATAATTACTGTAATTTAGATAGAAGTACAATGCGTTTCATCATAGTGGGTAAGGCTGCGGCTAGGTGATCTGCATACCTGCTCAGTCTGCTGTTCAAGTGCTTCTACCTGCTGATGGGAAACTCTTTTATCCTTAAACTGGACTTTGATTGGACAGCACTTCGAATGGAAGGTGTCTTTGAGAGAATTGTAAAGTAGGGCATGCAGCCACCTTATGGATGTTAGAATTCCTTCTCCATGATTGCAGTCATGGGATTGTTGTCTTTCACAGGATGGTATATGTTTTGACTCCACAGAGTGGGAAGTGACGGAGACAGGATGTTTGTGTTACTGTGTTCTGTGAAGTTGGACTATTGTCCTTTGTCCTTTTTCTCTTTGCTGTCTGATGCTAGAGAGAGAGGGAGCCATGTTGCAGTGCTCTGTGTGTGTTTATATGTAAATAAAGTAGATTAGCCAAAATGCTGAGTTGCTGAGGTCTGTCACACATGATGCGCAAACTCTGTGGTTCCCTAAGTGTGCCGGTGCTGGTTGGCATCGGTCACTGTGATGTTCGGGGTGAAGAAAGCTTATGAAGCTCCCGAACGATCGACCAGGAGGGAGGGAACATGCCAGTCGGGCATGTGTCTCTACCAGGGTGCTACTCGAGTGTAGGCTGAACTTCTGACAATGAAAAGGTCTCAAGGAAAACCACAACTCACTTCCAAGCGGGATTGGACATACCCTTCCCAGTAGCCCAGCAACAGGGTGTTACACTGTTAGCACATTAAGGACATCCTTGGTGGATCACAGCAGACAACCAGATGATTACAGTAAGCCCCAAAGCAGGACCTGAGTAAAACAACACTTCTCCGTCCTGCTGTTTCCAGCAGCTGGCATTCAGTAGTATTGCTGTCTCCAACAGCAGAGGTGGAACATAGCCATGGGTAGCTTTATCCTCCATGAATTTGTCTATAAGAACATTGCGATTCAGTGCACCACAGCATGGGATGTTGTTGTGTTGAGGAGCTAGATTGAGTGAGCAAGAATGAGTCCTGACAGGAAGTCAAAAGTACTTCAGAGGATTCAAGGACAGCCCACCTCTGGTGGGTTCTCCAAGAAATTTACTCTTCAGACCTGGCAAGCTTTGAACTGAATCGTGTGAGGAAATGGCACAAGCAATATTTCCTTCTTTGGTGCAGCGAGAAAGCTCTGAGCCTGGGTAATAAATTGGAGATGACAGAACACCTGAGGAAACCTTGTAGTGGGTTAATCATACCGGAGCAGCATCGCTGGGGACAGAGAGGCGGGCTGTGGGCTTGGTTTGAGTTACTCAGATAGGAACTCGTTTCTGTCAAATGTAATTCAGGAAGAACCCTCTCTGTGGATCGCCTCCCTTCCTTTGCACACAGAAGCCCAAATCGTTTTTGATGTTTACAAGTCTGTGGCAGTCACTGCTTGCCTTTGCTGAGTCCCCCCCCCCACTCTCTGGGGGGCTATGCTGGCAGCACATGAATACCAACTAGTTCCTTTGTAATCCGTTCAATGTAGGCACCAACTTCTTGCAAGAGGTCGGGCCTTGCAGCGAGCAAAATTGCTTATGTCAAGGTTAACCCCTGCCCACCGCTGACTTTTGCTCAGCAAAACATCTACCAAGTTGATGGCGGTGGTGATTTATTTCCAAAGCGCCTAAAAGTTTCTAGGCACGGTACACATATTAAAGGAGGCAGTAGCTTACAAAATATGGAAAGGAAAGGAAAAGGAACATTCAAAGCAGCTCACAAAATATTGAAGAACATATAATATTGGAAATTGGCTTACACACCCAAACACATATGCATAACAGACACACACCAGTAAGGAGACAGAATATAACCAGCAGGAGAAAATACAGCAGACAAAAGCTAACCTTATTTTCCAAAAGCCCACTAAACCTACAGTGTTTTACATGGCACCTGAAAGACTAGGAATGGGCCTCTCATGGGAAGCAGTTCTAAAACCTGGGTGCAATGACCGAAAAGGCCCCGTCCCATGTAACTATCCCTTAACCTCCACAGTTTTATTTTTAAAAATTATTTTATTAAAAGAATTTCAGCTATAGAAAATAAATGAATGAAAAACAAAAGAGAAAGATAGTGCAAAGATACAATAAGAAAAAAATAATATAATGCACTAAATATAACATTTATATAATTATTATATAGATATATAAATAGTATTATTGTCCTAATACATATATGATTATTGATAACCTACTGTATTCTGTATAAACTTGTTCCAAATGTCAAATATATTTGTCCAAACAAAGCCTGTGTCTATAAGTTGTCTGTTCACATGTTGCTAGTATTGTCATCTCATCAATCCATTGATTAAAAGGGATCATATCTTTATTCTTCCCTAACCTCCAAAGCTGAGCATTTATTTTTAAGTGCGGAAATCAAGATCAAGGGACCTTTTCAACGGGATCACACTGAAGCATGGTGATGAAACCAAATAATTTCTGAAATCCAGTGAAAGATACATTTTCCCCTTGGGAGTCCATGGTGCTAGGAGCACACCATACATTTAAAGCATTCTTATACCACTTTAGCAGTCATGGCTTTTGCTAAAGAACCCTGACAGCTGTGCTTTGCTAAAGGTCGTTAGAAATTGCAGCTCTGTTGGGAGTGTGTGTGTGTGTCTCCTAACAATCTCTCTGCACCCTTAACAAACTAAAATTCCCAGGAGTCTTTGGGGGAAGTCATGGCATCACAGTGCTTTACGGATGCTGTGGGTAGTTAGTTGGTGTTGTGAATTAGGTTTAAAGGGAATTGTACCTGTTGGTTTGTTTTTTAAAACATTCCTATTTATTATTGTTGTATCTGATTACTTTTACCTCGTACAGGCACCATTGTCCCACTTTGGGGGAGATGGATGTATTTATGACAGCGCCAGTCCATCAGCCTTTTCCTTTCATGATGCTGGCCTGTAAGAAGACTGTGCATTGATTCCAATTTCATCCAGAGGGCAATTTGGCTCTGAAGAAGCTACTCATAATTATCTAGACAACATTTCCTCAGAGAACGAGGCTTACAGCCCAATTATGCAGCAGCTCGCAGATTCAAGCAGTCGCTTCCAGTGCCAGGGCATAGAGGCAATCTGCAGCTGCTAGCAATTTTTCAGGGTGAACAGAGCAAAGGTGTGAATCTCTGCTTGCCCCCCCCTGCAGCTAAAGCTGTCCCAAAGGACTTGGAAGCTCAGGTAATGCGTTGGACTTGGGACAAATTGACATAATAAAAATGCCTACGATAAACAAAACACGGCATGTGATATATATGTGTTGCCCTTGCCATGCCACCCTAGCCATTGAAAGCCAGCCTTATGAAAAGGTAGAGCTTTGTGGAATACACAGGGTTGGATCCAGACTAAGGGGGAACTCCTGTGGCAAGACCTTCTGGGATGAAAAGTTTAGGATACATTGGATTTCTGGCTCAGCTTGTGTAAGGTGTTCATCTCAGTTCAGCCAGCGCTCAGTCCCTCAGATGTGGTATGATGGGGTGGAATCAGAGAGGGAGGACTCTGGTTGGCTCCTCAGCCCATTCAGCTTAGTCACATGACCTGGCAACCTAGCGTAGAGCACTGTTTTAAAAGCTTGTGTAGCCTTTGCCAGGTTTCGGCAAACCAGCCGCCGCCCCGCTACTAAGAGCCAACACACCAATGAGGCACAATAAGGCCTCCGCTCAGGCAGCAGAAGACCCTGAGGCAATGCCTCCTGGGTGTTATGCCTGCTGTGCTGATGTTGTTTGGAAAGCATTGGTGCTGATTTCAGCTTGGACGGTGCCAATTTCCAGCAACACCTCAAACAGTGCCAGATCTTGTGGAGCACATGAGAGCTCATGCAATTTGGGTGAGATCTTGCTGGAAATTGGTGCAATCTCACCCAAAATGGTTGCCAATGCTAGCGCCGCTTCTGTGGGGCAGTCGCCTCAGGCGGCACTTCCTGTTTTGCCTCAAGTGGCAAAATGGAACATGCAGCCACTGTTGCTACTGAATAGGGTTTGGATCTGGTGTAGTTTTAAGCTGGCCTAACTTATACCAGATTGACATACACAAGTTTCTTGGACATAGGATTGCTACCTCAGGTCCCACTGACACCAATCGGACATGGCTTTGTCATGCCGAATGAAGTGCTGAAACCTGCCCTGCACTTTTGTGAATATTTTCTTCCTCCAGTTTTCAGTCTCATTCCCAGGGCAATTTATAATTTCTTTATAATTTTGTGCCTACAGGGTTGAGCTGACCTTATGATTTCCTCTGCACTCAACATTTCTCCAGCACTCTTGCAACCTTTCTGACAAAGGCCCCTATGAGAAGTTACCTCATAGTGTCTTACCCTCAGCTTTGAAGTGAGGGTAGCTGGGAAGGCTGGCGACTGAGCACCCGAGACCAATGCACTGACTTACTTCATTTTTTAAGGTAAGTTCTTCCTTTTACCTTACATTTCCCCCCACATTATTTCTATAACAGTAATAAGACCCTGCTTTAAGAAATAACAACAAACAGGTGCCAGGTGTGTGAGAAGCACCATCCCTGCCTTTCTGTGCTTACAAGAAAGCCTAGTTGGAGATATCATGAGCTTTCCAGGAACTATGGGCACCCAGGGAGGCTGCAGAACACTGGAGAGATATTATTTGCAGAATGAAAGGACAGATACTCACAAAGCCCCTCAGGCATCTTGATAGTCAGGGAAGCAAAACAAAAGCCCCACGCATCCTACCATGACAATGTCGCTTTAAATTTTCTCTCCCCTTTGATAACTCTCAGAAGCAGTTCATTTTCTCATTAACTGAGAGAAAATGGTTAAAAAAATAATAATAAATGCTGAAGAAATTTTCAGTGCTGCCATAGTCACGATTCACTTTTCAAAACTGGATTTTAATAGTATTGATGTTCAACTTAAACATCCTCTGAGTCTGGCAAGTTTCCAGTGGAAAAGCGTGACAGTGGCAGCTGGTAGCTTCAATAGCTTTTTGAAAAATACACAGATTCATGGTCAGGGAGCCAATTCCTATATTGTAGGAATGTGATTGCTATAGGGAGCCTCCACACAGCATTCCTCAAGCTGCCACATGATGGAGACAAGCAAAAGGGGAGAGCTGTATCTCCTGTATTTTTTGCTTATGATCACCCAGGGCTGGCCATTGTCAGGTTAAAGAATGCTGGACTAGACAGATCAGCAAGACACTTTATGTTTCTATAGATTACAGTGTTTTTGTGGGAGTACATAGGAAACTGTGTTGTACCAATCGCAACATGGGTCCATCAGTATTGTCAACAAAGACTGGGACTGCCATTCCAAGGTTTCAGACCAGGAGTTTTCCCCAGTCCAACCTAGAGATGCTCTGGACTGATCTCTGCAAAGCATGCTCTCTACCACTGAGCTATGGCCAATCTCCCGGTAGGGGAATCAATAAGGCACCAGTAATGCCAAAAAGCGGGGCGCGGGTGGAACTGTGGGTTAAACCACAGAGCCTAGGGCTTGCCGATCAGAAGGTTGGCAGTTCGAATCCCTGCAAAAGGGTGAGCTCCCGTTGTTTGGTCCCAGCTCCTGCTAACCTAGCAGTTCGAAGGCACGTCAAAGTGCAAGTAGATAAATAGGTACCGCTGTGGCAGGAAGGTAAATGGCGTTTCTCTGCGCTGCTCTGGTTCGCCAGAAGCGGCTTAAGTCATGCTGGCCACATGACCCGGAAGCTGTACGCCGGCTCCCTCGGCCAATAAAGCGAGATGAGCGCCGCAACCCCAGAGTCGTCCATGACTGGACCTAACGGTCAGGGGTCCCTTTACCTTTACTAATGCCAAAAAGCACACTCATCCCAGTTGAGAGAACCAGTTATTGTATTACCAACCATCTCTGGTGTTTAGACTTGAAGGGGTGGGAGCTCTTTGTAGTTTTGCCACCCTCAGAAGAGTGGAAAATGACAGCCCACGGGGACAGTTTTCTCTGTGGCAGCTCCTAAATACTGAACCATGGAAAACAGTAACCAGAAAAGGAGGCCTCTGTTGGTCTAGAGCAAAGGACTATCTAGCATGGACTTTCCAAGTGTCCCTAGTTTCCAGGGACAGTACCGGATTTATGCAACCCCGAGCCAAGGAGATGAGTAACTATACAACTATTAGAAGACACCTGAAGGCAGCCATTTACAGTGGTACCTCCAGTTGTGAATGGGATCCGTTTGGGAGGTCCGGCTGGATCCCGAGGTTCTGCGCATGCGTGTGGGCGGTAGACTGCTTCTGTGCATGTGTGCACAGCGAAACCCGGTCTGATACCTCTGAGTTTGCCGCTTTCGTAACGTGAAGTTTACATAACCAGAGGGTTACGTAAGCCGAGGTGCTATTGTATAGGGAAGTTTTTAATGTTTAATGTTTCATTATGTTTTTATATATGATGGAAGCAATCTAGAGTGGCTGGGACAACCCGGTCAAATGGGTGAGATATAATAATAATAATAATAATAATAATAATAATAATAATAATTAGGTAAAGGGGACCCCTGACCATTAGGTCCAGTCGTGGCCGACTTTGGGGTTGTGGGTGCTCATCTTGCTTTATTGGCCAAGGGAGCCGTCGTACAGCATGTGGCCAGCATGAGCAGCGCATGGAACGCCGTTTACCTTCCCGCTGGAATGGTACCTATTTATTCTACTTGCACTTTGACGTGCTTTCGAGTCATGTGGCTGGCATGACTAAGCCACTTCTGACAAACCAGAGCACTGCACGGAAACACCGTTTACCTTCCCGCTGGAGCAGTACCTATTTATCTACTTGCACTTTGAGGTGCTTTCGAACTCCTAGGTTGGCAGAAGCTGGACCGAGCAACGGGAGCTCAGCCCATCGTGGGGATTCGAACCGCTGACCTTCTGATCGGAAGTCCTAGGCTCTGTGGTTTAACCCACAGCGCCATCCGCGTCCCTAATAATAATAAATAGGATGTCCCTATTTTTATCAGAGAAATGTTGGAGGTATGCTAGTCTGGCATTATATTCCCACCATAATTTTATCCTCATATCCTCGTACTCTGCCTTGCTATATCTTCAGAAAAGTGCGGATTATAAATTTGCTAATAAATAAATAAATATAAATAAAGACGCAAAATCCACTAAACAAAAACAAAAACCAAACCCAAACAAATCTCCACCCAGCTGCATTTCTCAATGGGGAAAAGTACAAAGTTAGAGGATGCTAAATGACCAGCCTGCATTAGCCTCAGAAGCAATGCTGGCGGTTCTTTGCTGAAAACCCAGGTCACGTTACCGATAGCTCTGACTGCCATTCAAGGATGCCTTTGAAAGCGGACAATTGCTAGCAATATACCCCTCAGTACAAAACACAGCAGACCTGCGGTTGTTCCAAGTAGGTCACAGGGACTTATCTCTCCTGTCACTTCTGTTAACAAAACATGGCAGCAAACAATTGCAAAAGAAACAGGGCAGCCAACCACCCCGGAAAAAATATATATTGCAAAAATAAAATAAAAATGCCGCCGATCGGAAAAGCCTCTGAAGTCTCGAAAACCTGCTCTGTGGATTCTATACTTTACTCAGCATAATGGTAATCCAGCCCTGTCTGAATAACTTCCTCTCCTTTTGTTACTGCTGTATGATAACTATTAAAAAATGGACAGAGCTTTCACCGCATCATCCTTTTAGCCGGCCACAGGGTTAGGGAAGCAAAAGCAAAACCCATCACAGTTTGTATTTTATATTAATACCTCAAATCCCTGAGGTCTTCCCAGGCTTTCTTTGCTATGTCTCCACGCAAAAGAATCTCCGAAACAGACAATCCTGTAGCCTGGACATCAGTTGGAGCAGCGCTGGGTTCTGTAGGTAAGGGGGGGGGGAATGAAATAGTGAACTTCATCTGGAACAAAATAGCAGAGCCAAATTTGTCATATACTTTCCCTTTAGCCTCTCCTTATTGCTGGGGATAAAACTTCACAGTTGTCCTGAGCATCAGCAAAAGCGACACAATGAAAACTGTTATTTCCATTGCTTTCCTTTATGTCACATCCGTTCATATCCCTATTACCGACAGGCCCAGAGAGATGGGCTATTGAGAACTCAGATGCCTACGCCACAGCCCACATGCATCTAAATGTTTTGTGACAAACTAGCACAATCCTAAGCGTTTATGATCAATGTGGTGCGTGGGAAGAGAGGGTTGATTATTACCGTGGTTGCTTCCAATATTAAAGCATTTATAGCCAACTTTTCAAAACATGCACTGAAGGAGGCCTACAGTAAAATAGTCGTGATGCAGTCACAATATGACACCTGGATAACACATCAAACCTAAGTTCCTATGTTTTCATAGCATGAAACAAGAAATGTTATGGAGTCAGAGAAATATTATGCTTCGATGTTTTCCACCCAATATGATTTTCTGTGCAGTAAGTGTGCCTTGTTTTCTGTTTGGCAGTGGCGTAGCGTGGGTTGTCAGCACCCGGGCAAAGGCAAGTAATTTGCGCCCCCTTAACCCGTGGATTTGCGCCCCTACACGCCTAACCCCCAGACTGTGTTGCGCCCGACCCATCCCTGCACCCCCACGCTACGCCACTGGAGGGACTCCCAGCAAGGTGAGCCGGAACTCTCCCCCCCGGGTATCTCAGGAAGCCCTCGAGGCAGCGACACTTCCACCCCCTGGACACACAGCAGAAGAGAGAGCGCTCTTGTGGCCCGCGGCTCCTGAATTTGAGTTCTGTCTCCATTGACAGTCGTCTGCTTGGCCACTCACTCTATCATGGGTCGCCGCTTGGTGCCCTTGATCCCAGGTTAGCCGGGCTGCTTTCTTGCAAGACGAGCGGCCTCCTGTCACCGCCCCCGCCACACGGAGCCAAGTGCTGCACTGGCATGGCGCGCTGCTCTCTTCCAGCTTCCTCCCGCCGGCGCACGAGCGGCTCCACCTTCTTTCCTTTTGCCTTGAGCCGCTTAATTCCCAACAAAGCAAACTTAGCAGGCTCGCTCCACCTCTCCTCCTCCTTACCTGGCCTTTTCTGCTGCTGCTGCGAGGGACTGCATTTTCTCCAACCCAGTGAGACGGCGCGCTGAGCGCCTTAGAGAGAGTTCCCGCTTCCTCGAGGGGGCCGGCCAAACGCGCCCCAAAAGATGTTGCGCCGCTCGATGTCGGCCGGCAACCCTGGCACACCCACCCCATCGCTAGCGTCCACTGAATTGTTGCGAAATTCAGGCTGATTACGCAGTAGCCTGGGAGTGAGGCTGGATGGGTCACATCTGAGCATTCCATGCAGTGTTTAGCGCAACTGTAATTAATACCTAACCAGGAGTGAGGAACGAAGAAGGGATTGTTATGTCGATTGATAAAAAGTGGAGAGCACCTCGTAAGTAAGTAACACTCGACAGCAGGGCCATTGAGAGGCAGGAAGGAGGAGAGAGGCAAGGAAACGAAAGGGAGGGAGATGGCACAGCAGCAAAATAGTGCAAGTTCTTGCCCTGGCTACCCTTTGTCAAATTAATGTAAGATATGAGCCTTCTGGACAGTCAGGTATAATGTGTCTTGAGTGCTGTTGAAGTATGTAAGTATTAAATGGGAAGAGAGAGAGAGATGGAGGAAAGAAAGCAATTGGCTAAAGTGTATATTCACAGTGTTGCATATGCCATTTGAGATGGCAACTAACAACTATGGGGGAAATGAAAAAGTGTGCAGTGTGAGTAACAGTGCATAGCATTTTTTCGTGGGGTGTGTGATCCAATAACCATTCAAAACCACTTATGTGGGTAAAGAGCTTCTCATTCTCCAAAGCACCAAAAATGGAAGAGTGAAGCAGATGCTACGAGTACAGATTGCTGATATCCCAACACAATCATAACAAATCTCAGTATTTGCACTTCAGCTCCATAAAGAAATATTAATTTTAATGGCATTTACAACACCTCAATGTTTCTGCCTTTCCTTAAATCCTACTGCAAACACTGTCAAATTGAAGCGGTTTGCGCGGATTTCACTGCAGTCTGTTCCTATTATAGTCAAATGGGGCGGCTCAAGCATCAGGCAGCATATATTATTCAGTTCATATTCACAGTTGACAATCACCATATCCAAAATATACTAAGGTATAAGAGGTTTTAATTTGATATTTAAGGCATGGTGGGTTGTCCTTAAAAAACGTATGCTTTTGTTTGAACTCCATGTTTAAAAGAGAAGTGGAAATAGATGGCGACGGAGGGTGGAAGGAAAGGAAGTAGGGTGAGACATCCACCTTACAGGCTCTCTGGTTCTCTCTCTGAGAGGACAAAACCTTCCATTGTGCCCATAGTGGAAGAAGCCTCTGTGTGCATCGCATTGAGGAACCACATGCTCAGGCATGTTCTAAGACGCAAGCGATTCCCCACCCACTCCCAGCCTCAAGTGTACAGGGATTCCACAACCATATCTGTCATGGCGCTGTCAGGCAAGGAAGTTCGAGAGGACGGAATTAACTCTTTTATGTCAACAGACTGCAGTGGGTTCAAAGCAGAGTAAACACAGAATTCTACTTCACCCCCCCAAAAGAAACTTTATAAATAATGAAGTATTATAAGTTTAATCTTTAAAATAGCAAAACAAGGAACATCTTATTAGTTTGTTTAATTCCAAGCTGAAAGACATTTTTAACCCACTAAGTTCCAGCGTTATGGACGTTGTTCTTTGTATTGATCAGTTTTGTAATATTGGTTTTGTTCCATTCTGAAATAGAATTCATTTTTATTACCTATACGACTGTATATTGGGCAGAGGAGGTGGGATTGTAGAATAGCGATGATCTTTATTGTCAAAAGTGCACTTACAAGTTAGGAAAAGGCAGGTCCATCAGTCCTACGTCTCTCAGCTACTTCTAGGTGCCCACACGATGAGGAAGTTGCCATGACAAAAATTCACCCTAACTCTAACCTTAACCCCTGACCTCAGCTTATGTATCTTCCCCGACCGAGCTGTGCACAAGCAGTCTAAGACTCTACTTGCATTGTAATCTACTTCTGCTCCTCCCTCTTCAATCCTCTTCTGATCTTGGGAGACAGTGGCCCAGGAGAGGTGGGAGGAGGAGGAGGTGTGAAAGCCCTTAACTCTCCACCAACCTGACCTCTCTCCCCTCCTCCTGCACCTTGTTTTTCGCTCTCCATTCCTGCAGCTTTTCCTGCCTCTGCCTCTCCCCTCCAAGCTGTTACAAGCTCCCCCGGACCATTCATCTCTTCTTCCAATCAGTCTCTAACCCCCCCCTTCTCCCTGGGCCCACTCATCAGTATCCAGCCACACTCCTCAGTGCCAGTCAGTCCTGACAATACCTTAGCTTTGTTAGCTCAGAAAGAATAGAGCTGATTGGCTACCCTTTCCCTTGATGCCTATGTCATGGCAGGTGCAAAAGCAGAAGAAATATCACAAACCATGGTTTTCCATTTTGTCAACCAAGGAAACTATGGTTAACGGCTTTGGGAATTTTAAATAGCACTGATCAGCTCTTTTTGAGAGAGGAACTAGAATTAAGCCCCACATTTTGCTCTACCCAACGGAGCAGCTGATCAGTGCAATTGCTAATTGTTTGAGAAGGCTAAGCAAGATCAGGCTGGCTAATGGAAATCGACACATGGATCGGGGCCTGCGAATTCGATACTTAGCTTCTCAGTGCTGAAGAGCCTTGCAATGCACAGTGTAAGATAAGGAAAAAGAGAGGAATAAAAGAACATAGCATTCCAGAGAACAAGATGGTAGATATGTCAAAACTGACCTTGTATCCCATGACATCATTCTGATTAATATAAGGAGTTTAACAGGTTCCCATCCAAGAAACGTGGGAGCCTCTTGTATCCACATGATTTGCTTGGCGCTTGGCTAGGAGCAGTGGGAGGAAGAAAACAAAGAATGTTTTGAAATAAACTGTTGGAAGATTGGACAAAAGACCCAAAGAGCAGACAGTTGGTTCTTTGTTCCAGAAGTTGTCATTTCAATACCTACTGGATCATTTCATCTCCTCCTCTTCCATGCCAAAAACCTGTTAGCCTTATTTTCCTGAAGATAACTTCTTGAGAATCTCAAATGCTCTCAGTCCTCCTTGGAATACAGATCCTTGAAGTGAGCTCCTGAAGCAAACAACACAGCAGCCCTATTTTGTTATTCAGCATTCTAGTATCTACCTCTCTCCCATAAGGAAAGGAAGACCAAGGATGAAAGGAATGAAGCCTTATTAGGGCTGTACATTACGACGAGGAGAAGAAGAGTTGGGAACCTACGAGATTCTTGGTGGTGGCACGGACGGCGTGCTGGGTGTCCATACCCTGCTGAGTTGTAACGCTTCCACCTCAGGTGGTATAAGATGTGTTGCCTCAAGCCCTGTCAGAATGATGGATGACTCATTTCCTTCTGTCCTGGTCTGTTTCAGCCGCTTCCTCTTGTCCTATCTTTCCAGTAACCAACCTGCCAATGGAGAATTGTGTGAGGATTGACCACGACACTCATGGGGTCTTTCCCTAATTATGTACATCATAATGTCCAAGCACAGCCCTCTTTGAGAAAATGTCAAGAGGCCTAGAGTAACTCCACTAAGAGGAAAGGTTGCAATGCTTGGATTTTATTTTTTCCAGTTTAGTATGTGGGGGTGTAGGACAGAGGTGGTATTTAAGATGAGGTGTGATGTAGAGAAATGAACAGAGACATTTTTAAATCTCTCCTTCATAATTACTTGAATTGGGGGTCTCCCAATGAAACAGTGTGGAGAGGTTTCTTCAGGACAGGCGTAGAAAGAATACTCTCTTCCCACTGCACATAGTTATAATAATGGAATTCATTCCACAAAATGTGATAATGTGACAAAACACCTTGGAAGGATTAGACAAGATTCAGGGAGCATTGGTCTCAATGGCACATTTCCTCCATAATAAAATGCCTGATTTAGGTTTATAAGTTCATCTTTTTAATTCCCACTATAAATAATATATTGAAACCATGTCCCAGCGTCGAATAATACTCGGTAGATTTAGAAGAAGTGACCGGAAGCGTTTCAGTCAAGTGGGTAAGGCTGCGGCTAGGTGATCTGGCATACCTGCTCAGTTGCTGTTCAAGAGTGCTTCTACTGCTGGAGTGGGAAACTCTTTTATGCTTAAACGTGGCCTTTGATTGCACAGCACTTCGGAATGAAAGGTGTCTTTGAGAAGAAGTTAGTAAAAGTAGGGCATGCAGCCACCTTAGTGGATGTTAGAATTCCTTCCACTGATGCAGTCATGGGATGTGTACTTCACAGGATTATATTTTTGATCCAACAGAGTGGAGACCGGAGAACTGGTGTAGGCTAGAACGTTGGAACTATTGTCCTTGTCCTTTTCTCTGTTGAGCTGTCTGTATAGCTAAGAGAGAGGGGAGCCATGTTGCAGTGCCTCTGTGGTTGTTATTAGATGTAATAAATTAGACCAAACTGAGTGAGAGGATCGTGTCACATGAGGAGCAAACTCTGAGTGGTGTGCACACAATCGAGCTCAGGGATGCGTTGTGATGTCGGGGTGAAAACAAAAGCTTAGAGCCCCGAAACGAGTGGAAGAAGCACCAGAGGGAGGGGAACATGCCAGTCGGGCACGGTGTCCTACCAGGGTGGCTATCGAGGGTAGGCTGCAATCTGAACAATGAAAAGGTCTCAAAGAAGACCAACCAACTCACTTCCAAGGCGGGATGAGCATAGTAACCGCTTCCAGAGCCCAGCAACAGGGTGTTACACTGTTGCACATTAAGGACATCGCGGCCATCAGCCAGCAGACAACCAGAATGATACAGAGTAAGCCCCAAAGGCAGCGACCTGATAAAAACCGACAAACCTTCTCGTCCTGCCTGTTGCTCCCAGCAAGCTGGCATTCAGGACTAGTATTGCTGTCTCCACAGCAGAGGTGGACAATAGCCCATGGTAGCTTTATCCTCCATGAATCTGGTCTATAAGGAACATGTGCGATTCAGTGCGACCAACAGCATGGAATGTTGTTGTGTGAGAGAAGCTAGATGAGTGAGCAAGAATGAGTCGCTACAGGAAGTCAAAAAGTACTCAGAGGATTCAAGGACAGCCACCTCTGGGGCGTTACTCACAAAAATTCTCTCAGACCTGGCAAGCTTGTGAACTGAAATCGGTGAGGAATGGCACAGCAATTTTCCTTCTTTGGTGCAGGCGAGAAAGTCTGAGCCTGGGTAATAAATTGGAGATGACAGAACACCTGAGGAAACCTTGAGTGGTTAGATCATAACCGGAGCAGACATCGCTGGGGGACAGAGAGGCGGACTGTGGGCCTTCGGATTTGAGTTACTGCAGCATAGGAATGCTGTTCCTGTCAATGTAATTCAGGAAGAACCCCTCTCTGTGGATCGGCCTCCCTGTCCGTTTGCACACAGAGCCCAAATCCGTTTTGATGTTTACAAGTCTGTGGGCAGTCACTGTTGCTCTTGCTGGAGTCCCCCCCCCGCACCTCTGGGGGCAATGCGGCAGCAATGAATACCAACTAGTTCCTTTGTAATCCGTTCAATGTAAGGCACCAACTTCTTGGCAGAGGTCGGGCTTGGCAGCGAGCAAAATTGCTTATGTCAAGGTTAACACCCTGCCCACCGCTGACTTTTGCTCAGCAAAACATCTACCAAGTTGATGGCCGGTGGCGGTATTTCAAAGCGCCTAAAAAAGTTCTAGGCAAAGCGGTCACATATTAAAGGAGGCAGTAGTTTAAAATATGGAAAGGAAAGGAAAAGGAACAATTCAAGCAGCTCAACAAAATATTTGATGAACATATAATATTGAAATTGGCTTACACACCGAAACACATATGCATTAACAGACACACACATAATGAGAGCAGAATATAACCAAGCCAGGAAAAATACAAGCAGAACCCAAAAGCCTAACCCTTATTTTCGCAAAGCCCACTGAACGCACAGTGTTTTATACACCATGGCACCTGAAAGAACAGGAATGGGCTCTAATGGGAGAGTCAGTTCCTAAAAACCTGGGTGCAATGACGATTAAATGCGCCGCGTCCCATGTACTAATCCCTTACCTCCACAGTTTTATCTTGTAAAAATTTATCTTTAATTTAAAAGAATTTCCAGCTATAGAAAATAAATGAATGACAAAACAAGAGAAAGAGATAGTGCAAAGATACCATTAGAATATAAAAGAATCATATAATGCATAAATATAACATTTATAATAATTATTATATAGATATATAAATAGTATTATTGTCCAATACATTATAGGATTATTGATAACCTTATAGCTGTCTTCTGTATAAACTTGTGTTCCAAATGTCAAATATATTTGTCCAAAACGAAAGCCTGTGTCTATAAGTTGTCTGTTTCAACATGGTTGCCTAGTATTGTCATTTCATAATCCATGTGATTAAAACGGGATCATATCTTTATTCTTTCCCTAGACCTCCATAAGCTGAGCATGTGTTCTTTTTTTAAGTTGCGAAATCAAGATCAATGGGACCCTTTCACGGGATCACACTGAAGCATGGTGATGAAAACAAATAATTCTCTGGAATCCAGTGAAAGATACATTTCCGCTTGGGATTCCATGGGTGCAGGAGCACACCTGATACATTTAAAGATTCTTATACCACTGTTAGCAGTCATGGCTTTTGCATAAAGACCTGGGACAGCTGTGCTTTGCTAAAGGTCGTCTAGAATTGCGCTCTGTTTGGGAGTGTGTGTGTTGTGTCCTCCTAACAATCTCTCTGCGCGCCCTTACTTAAACTAAAAATGCGCGCTAGGAGTCTTTGGGGGAAGCTCATGGCCTCAGAGGAGTGCTTTACGGATGCGCTGAGTGTAGTTAGTTCGGTGTTGAGTGATGTAGGTTTAAAGGATAGTCTGTTTGTTTGTTTTTGCTAAAAACATTCTATTTATTTTGTTTGTATCTGATTACTTTAACCTCTCGTACATGGACTCATTGTCCCAGCTTTGGGGAGAAATGGATGTAGCTTAGTGAAGCGCCTAGTCATCACCTTTTCTCTTTCATGATCTGGGCTGTAAGAAGACTGTGCCATATTGATTACATTTCATACAGAGGGCATTTGGCTCTGATAGAAGCTTACTTCATGAAGTTATCATAGACCAACATTTCTTCAGAGAAGAGGCTACAGCCAATTTATCAGGCATGCTCGCAGATTCAAGGCAGTCCGCTTCCAGTGCCAGGGCATAGAGGCAATCTTGCCGGCTGCTAGCAATTTTTCAGGGTGAACTGCAAAGGTGTGATGATCTGCTTTTTTTTGCCCCCCCACCTGCAGCTAGAGCTGTCCAAATGGAGCTTGGGAAGCTCAGGTAATAGGCCGTTGGACTTGGGACAAATGCTGACATAATAAACAATGCCTACCGATAAACAAAACACGGCATGGTGATATATATGTTGTTTGCCCTTGCCATGCCACCCTACGCCATTGAAAGGCGAGCTTATAAAAGGTGAGCTTTGTGGAATCAAGGGGTTGGAGTCCAGGACTAAGGGGAACTCCTGTGGCAAGACCTTCTGGATGAAATTTATAGATACATTGGTTCTGGTCGCTTGTGTAAGGTGTGTTCAGTCTCAGTCAGCAGCGCTCAGATCCCTCAGATGTGGTATGATGGGGGTTGGAATCAGTAGAGGGAGGACTCTGGTTGGCGTCCTCAGCCCATTCAGGCTAGTCACATGACCTGAGCAACCTTGCAGTAGAGCACATGTTTTAAAAGCTTGTGTAGCCTTGCGCAGTTTCGGCAAACCCAACCGCCGCTCCGCTACTAAGAGCCAACACACCAAGAGGCACATAGGACTTCCGCCAAGCAGCAGAAGACCCTGAGGCCAAATGCCTCTGGGTGTTTTGCCTGCTGTGCTGATGTTGTTGGAAAAGCATTGGTGCTGATCTTCAGCTTGGACGGTGCCAATTTCCAGCAACACCCACACAGTGCCAGGCTCTTGTGGAGCAGCATGAGAGTCATACAATTTGGTGAGAATCTTGCTGGGAATTGTGCATCTCACCCAAAAGTTGCCAATGCAGCGCTGCTTCCTGTGGGGCAGTCGCCTCGTCAGCGGCACTTCCTTGTTTTGCCCGTCAAGTGCAAAAAGTGGAACAGAGCAGCCACTGTTGCGTACTGCAATAGGGTTTGGGATCGTGTAGTTTTAAGCTGGCCTAACTTATAACCAGATTGACATACACAAGTTTGCTTTGGACAGAGGATCGCTACCGTCAGGTCCCACTGACCCCCAATCGGAACATATGGCTTTGTCATGCCCGAATGAAGTGCTGAAACCTGCCCTGCCTTTTGTTGAATATTTTTCTTCCCCAGTTTTCAGTCTCATTCCCAGGGCAATTATATAAATTTCCTTTAATAATTTTGTGCCTACAGGGTTGAAGCGCTGACCTATGATTCCTCTGCACTCAACAGTTCTCCAGCACCTTGCAACCTTTCCTGACAAAAGGCCCCTATGAGAAGTACTCATATGTCTTACCCTCAGCTTTGAGTGAGTAGTCGGAAAGGCCGGACTGAGCACCCGACACCAATGCACTGACTTACTTCATTTTTTAAGGTAAGTTTTCCTTTTACCTTACATTTCCCCCACATTTATTCTATAAACGTAAAAGCACCCTGCTTTAAAGAATAACGAACAAACAGGTGCCCAGTGTGTGAGAAGCACCTCCCTGCCTTTCTGTGCTACCAAGAAAAGCCTAGTTGGAGAATTCATGAGCTTTCCAAGCGAACTTATGGGCACCCAGGAGCTGCAAGAACACTGGAGAGTATTTTGCAGAATGAAAGGAAGATACTCACAAAGCCCCAGGCACTTTAGAGTCAGGGAAGCAAAAATAAAAAGCCCCACGCAGCCTAACCTATGATAGAATGTCGCTTTAAATTTTAATCTCCCTTTGAAACTCTCAGAAGTCAGTCATTTTCTCATTAACTGAAAAAATGGTTAAAAAAATAATAATAAGATCTGAATGAAATTTTCAGGCTGCCATATGCACGATTCACTTTCAAAACTGGATTTTTAATAGTAATTTGATGTTCAACCTTAACACATCCCTGAGTCTGGCAAGTTGTCCAGTGGAAAAAGCGTGACATGGCAGCTGGTAGCTCGCAATATGTCTTTTGAAAAATACAACAGAGTATCAGGTCAGGAGCCGAATTCCAATTTGTAGGGATGTGATTGCTATAGGAGCCTCCACACTAGCGATCTCAAGGGCTGTCGCACGAGTGATGGGAGCACAAGCATTATAAGGGGAGAGCTGTATCTCCTGTTATTTTGCTTATGATCACCCAGGCGCTGGCAGTGTCAGTTAAAGAATGCTGGACTAGAGCAGATCAGCAAGACACTGTAATGTTTCTATAGATTACAGTGTTTTTTGTCGCGAGTCACTATAGGCAAACTGTGTGTACCATCGCAAACATGGGTCCCATCAAGTATTGTCAACAAAAAAGACTGGCACCTGCCATTCCACACGGTTCAGAACAGGAGTTTATCCCCAGTCCCAACTAGAGCATGGCTTGGACTGATTCTTCGGCAAAAGGCACCGCTCTCTAGAGGGAAGTGAGCTATGGCGCAATCGTCCCGGTAGTGGGAATCCAGATAGGCACAGTCAATGGCCAAAAAAGCGGGGCGCGGGTGAACTGCCGTGGGTTAAACCAAGAGCCTAAGGGCTTGCCGATGCAGAAAGGTTGGCATTCGACTATCCCTGCAAATGGGTGAGCTCCGCCGTTGTTTGGCTCCCCGAGCTCTCTGTCTAACCTAGCATTCGATAGGCACGTCAAAGTGCGTCGATAAATAGGGTTACTCGCTCGTGGCAGGAAGGTAAATGGGTTTCGCTTTTTCTGCGCTGCTGCTGGTTCGCCAGAATCGGCTGTAGTCAGCTGGCCAACATGACCCGGGAAGCTTGATACGCGCGCTCCCTCCGCCCAATAAGCGAGATGACGGCCGCAGCCCCAGAGTCGTCGCATGGACTGGACCCTACCGGTCAGCCGGGTCCTTTACCTTATAATGGCCAAAAAGCACAAGCCTCATCCAGTTTGAGAGAACCATTATTGTAACTTACACCATCTCTGGTGTTAGACTTTGACAGGGGTGGAGCTCTTTGTAGTTTGCACCCTCAGAAGAGTGGAAGACAATCAAAACAAGAGACAGAAACAAAGAATTTTAGAACTGTGGTGTTGGAATTGACCCGAAGAATTGTCTAGTCCAACCCCCTATAATGAAGGAATCATAGCTAAAGAATCCCAGATAGAATGGTGATCCACGATGAGGTAGTAACTCCCTATCAGATTTTGGCAATTTTGTAGTCCCTAACCCAATTGATCTGCTGTGATTTTAACACAACAAATACCTTGAGAAAAATCAGCACAAGGACTCTTTGATCCAAACCCAGAATATTCATTTTTTTTTTGTCAGTGTGGGCTTACTGGGACAACACTGAAGATTCATTTTAATTACAACAGGTCTGATTGTTTTTTCCAAGTAGGATGGCTCTGCCTAGCCAAGATGTAAAATAAATAAATAAAATGCAATTAACTTTGCATTTGGCAAGAAAATTATGAGAGTAAATAACCTTCCCTTTGTTTATTTGAAATGCATGTCCTTTGCATACTTATTAATCAAGTAACATTAGTTATTGTTAATCAATGCAACAGTAAACAATGCTCTATGTCATCCTCCGTTTTAAAAATTAGCACTGTCGGTCCTTTATTGGCTGAGTCTGTGTAAACAAACTAGAAGGTAATGTTCTTTCTTTATGAAGTACTCTCTCTTACTCATGTTTTGTTGACAAGAGGACTCTGGTGGGACTCTTACACCCCAACTGAGATTTATATCAGAACTTTGGACCTTTCGTTGGTGTTTCAGCAGAGAAATATGTGAGCACAAGTTTAGACCAGATATTTTCCTGATGTACACCAAGGGAAAAGCTGATGTGGTGCTGTTGTCAAAAAAACTCTGGATTGCATTATTGGTGGGGTTTCCCACTTCCAGCCACTGTTGTGGAGAAAAGTGTGTGGGAGAGAGACAGTGTGTTCAGAAACAACCCTAAATTAACACTTGTCCACCTTTGCTTTTGCTTCTGTCCACCATGTGGTTCAAAGAAAGAGTGCCTAGGAAAGAATGAGACCCTCAGGATTCAAAAACTTCTGCACCCCTGGTGCAAAGGATCATAGCCTGTGTGAGAACTTTCATGTTTCTGCAACAGCCGTTGCACATAAAACTCTGTAGAAAAAGCTTTCACCTTATTTAACCTACAGTCTTTTCAGTGGAGGGCATTCACCTGATCAGTGGAGAATCATCAAATAAATAAGCAATGAGATATCAAACATTGCATATGCACGTGTGGTTTGACCCCAAGGTGTTTCCAAGTCAGCCAGGAGGCAACATAGTTGGTGTCGTCTTCAACTGACTGACTGGATCCCCTTTGATTCTGGCTGCAACATCAGGATTTAAACATTCCTTTAGAATAACAAGCTAACCAAGACCCCTAGGAGTTTGCTCAATATGCTGGAAGCAAAACTTGAGATATAGAGCACATGGAAGAGTCCATGCCACTTTAACAAACAGCAATGATACCATGCTATCTCATATATCGGTCACTGATAAGGCAGGATGTGTAATTTAGATGGATAAGCTTGCCACATCTGGTCTGTGGTATGACAATGGTGACAACACAATAACCCCCATCGTTCTGCCCAGACACTGAGGTCCAGCACCGAGGGCCTTCTGGCAGTTCCCTCACTGTGAGAAACCAAGCTACAGGGAACCAGGCAGAGGGCCTTCTCAGTAGTGGCACCCACCCTGTGGAACACCCTCCCACCAGATGTCAAAGAGAAAAACAACTACCAGACTTTTAGAAGACATCTGAAGGCAGCCCTGTTTATGGAAGCATTTAATGGTTAATAGACATTTGTATTTTAATATTCTGCTGGAAGCTGCCCAGAGTGGCTGGGAAAACCCAGATGGGCGGGGTATAGATAATAAATTACTGTTGTTGTTGTTGTTGTTGTTGTTGTTGTTGTTGTTGTTGTTACTACTGTACGTTTCACTTCCTTACCTGAAAAAGATGGTACCCTGATTTGAGAGCTCGGCATCCCATCCCCTCCTTCACTGACTGCGCGGACCTCTATGATATAGACCCCGACATCAGGGAGAAGCACCACTGCAGATGTTTTCTGTGTTTCAATGACTTGACTGTTGCTGTCACCTTCCTGCCTAAACAAGACCTGCGGACAATATGAACAGCTGTAGAATATCTAGCATCCAACATGGAAGCAAGGGCTAAGCAACTGAGAATTGGGCTTATGGAATAAGTAAGAAGGACAATGTGTATGAAACTAAGCATGGTATGAAAAGAGTGGATAGAGACAGGTCGTCCCCACCCGCCTAATAATCTGATGCCATTCAATGAAACTGAATGTTGGAATCAGGCTGATAACTGCAGGTACCTCACATCTGGCATCTCCATCAGTGTTAACCATAATTTATACTAACCAGAGTTAGAGAAGAGGTTTTATGGTGATTGATAAAATAGTGGCAGAGCACTGTAGTTAACACTCACCAGGGATGTAAGGAGGAGATGGGCAGGAAACGAAAGGGAGGGAGATGGCAAGCCAGCAAAATGTGCAAGTTCTTGCCCTGCTACCCTTTGTCCAATTAATGTAAGATATGAGCCTTCTGGACAGTGAGTGTATATGTTGTCTTGAGTGCTGTTGGAAGTATGTAAGTATTAAATGGGAGAGAGAGAGAGATGGAGGAAGAAAGCAATTGGCTAAAGTGTATATTCACATTTGCATATGCATTTGAGATTGCAACTAACACTATGGGGGTACATGAAAAAGTGTGTGCATGTGTGAGTAACAGTGCATATGCATTTTTCTGTGGGGAGTGTGTGATCCAATAACCATTTTCAAACCACTTATGTGGGTAAAGAGCTTCTCATTCTCCAAAGCACCAAAAATGGAAGAGTGAAGCCAGATGCTACGAGTACAGATTGCTGATATCCCCAACACAATCATAACAAATCTCAGTATTTGCACTTCAGCTCCATAAAGAAATATTAATTTTAATGGCATTTACAACACCTCATGTTTCTGCCTTTCCTTAAATCCTACTGCAAACACTGTCAAATTGAAGCGTTAGCGCGGATTTCACTGCAGTCTGTTCCTATTAATAGTCAAATGGGGCGGCCTTAATGGCATCAGGCAGCATATATTATTCAGTTCATAATCCACAGTTGACAATCACCATATCCAAAATATACTAAGGTATAAAGGTATTTAATTTGATTTTAAGGCATGGGTGGGTTGTCCTTAAAAAACGTAGTGCTTTTGTTTGAACTCCATGTTTAAAAGAGAAGTGGAAATAGATGGCGACTGGAGGGTGGAAGGAAAGGAAGTAGGGTTGAGACATCCATCCTTACAGGCTCTCTGGTTCTCTCTCTGAGAGAACAACCTTCCATTGATGCCCATGTGGAAGAAGGCCTCTGTGTGCATACGCATTGAGGAACCACATGCTCAGGCATGTTCTACGCAAGCGATTCCCCACCCCCACTCCCAGCCTAGTTACAGGGATTCCACAACCATATCTGTCATGGCGCTGTCAGGCAAGGAAGTTCGAGAGGACGGAATTAACTCTTTATTGTCAACAGACTGCAGTGGGTTCAAAGCAGAGTAAACACAGAATTCTACTTCACCCCCCCCAAAAGAAACTTTTATAAATAAATGAAGTATTATAAGTTTAATTCTTTAAATAGCAACAACAGGAACATCTTATTAGTTTGTTTAATTCCAAGCTGAAAGACATTGTTTAACCACTAAAGTTCCAGCGTTCCAGTGACGTTTGTTCTTTGTATGATCAGTTTTGTATAATTGGTTTTGTTCCATTCTGAAAATGAATTCATTTTATTATCCTATACGACTGTATATTGGCAGAGGAGGTGGGATTGTAGAATAGCGATGATCTTTATTGTCAAAAGTGCACTTACAAGTTAGGAAAAGGCAGGTCCATCAGTCCTACGTCTCTCAGCTACTTCTAGGTGCACACACGATGAGGAAGTTGCCATGACAAAAATTCACCCTAACTCTAACCTTAACCCCTGACCTCAGCTTATGTATCTTCCCCGACCGAGCTGTGCACAAGCAGTCTAAGACTCTACTTGCATGTAATCTACTTCTGCTCCTCCCTCTTCAATCCTCTTCTGATCTTGGGAGACAGTGGCCCAGGAGAGGTGGGGGAGGAGGAGGAGGTGTGAAAGCCCTTAACTCTCCACCAACCTGACCTCTCTCCCCCTCCTCCTGCACCTGTTTTTCGCTCTCCATTCCTGCAGCTTTTCCTGCCTCTGCCTCTCCCCTCCAAGCTGTTACAAGCTCCCCCGGACCATTCATCTCTTCTTCCAAGTCAGTCTCTAACCCCCCCTTCTCCTGGAGCCCACTCATCAGTATCCAGCCACCACTCCTCAGTGCCCAGTCAGTCCCTGACAATACCTTAGCTTTGTTAGCTCAGAAAGAATGAGCTGATTGGCTACCCTTCCCTTGGATGCCTATGTCATGGCAGGTGCAAACAAGCCAAGAAATATTCCACAAACCATGGTTTCCCATTTTGTCCCAACCAGGAAACTATGGTTAACGGCTTTGGGAATTTTAAATAGCACTGATCAGCTCTTTTTGAGAGGAGGAACTAGAATTAAGCCCCCACATTTTGCTCTACCCAACGGATAGCTGATCAGTGCAATTGCTAATTGTTTGAGAAGGCTAAGCAAATACAGGCTTGGCTAATGGAAATCGACACATGGATCGGGGCCTGCGAATTCGATACTTTGGCTTCTCAGTGCTGAAGAGCCTTGCAATGCACAGTGTAAGATAAGGAAAAAGAGAGGAATAAAAGAACATAGCATTCCAGAGAACAAGATGGTAGATATGTCAAAACTGACCTTGTATCCCATGACATCTGATTCATTAGCTAAAGGTTTAACAGGTTCCCATCCCAAGGAAACGTGGGAGCCATCTTGTATCCACATGATGTTGCTTGGCGCTTGGCTAGGAGCTGGGAGGGAAGAGAAAAACAAAGAATGTTTTGAAATACATGTTGGAAGATTGGACAAAAGTACCCAAAGAGCCAGACAAGGTTCTTGTTCCAGAAGTGTCATTTCAATACCTACTGGATCATTTCATCTCCCCTTCCTATTCCATGCCAAAACCTGTTAGCCTTATTTTCCTGAAAGATAACTTCTTGAGAATCTCAAATGCTCTCAGTCCTCCTTGGAATACAGATCCTTTGAAGTGAGCTCCTGAAGCCAAACAACACAGCAGCCCTATTTTGTTATTCAGCATCTAGTATCTACCTCTCTCCCATAAGGAAAGGAAGACCAAGAGAAAGGAATGGAAGCCTTATTAGGGCTGTACATTACGACGAGGAGAAGAAGAGTTGGGAACCTACGAGATTTCTTGGTGGTGGCACGGACGGCGCTGCTGGGTGGTCCATACCCTGCTGAGTTGTACGCCTTCACTCTCAGGTGGTATAATGTGTTGCCTTCAAGCCCTGTCAGAATGATGGATGACTCATTTCCTTCTGTCCTGGTCTTTTCAGCCGCTTCCTCTTGTTCCATATCTTTCCAGTAACCAACCTGCCAATGGAGAATTGTGTGAGTGATTGACCACGACACTCATGGGGTTCTTTCCCTAATTATGTACATTTCATAATGTCCATAGCACAGCCCTCTTTGAGAAAATGTCAAGAGGCCTAGAGTAACTCCACTAAGAGGAAAGGTTGCAATGCTTGGATTTTATTTTTTTCCAGTTTAGTATGTGGGGGGATAAGACAGAGTGTATTAAATTATGGTCGATGTAGAGAAAGTGAACAGACATTTTTAAATCTCTCCTTCATATTACTTGAATTGGGGGTCTTCCAATGAAGCCAGTGTGGAGACGTTCTTCATGACAGGCGTAGAGATGTACAGTGGTACCTCGGGTTAAGTACTTAATTCGTTCTGGAGGTCCGTTCTTAACCTGAAACTGTTCTTAACCTGAAGCACCACTTTAGCTAATGGGGCATCCTGCTGCCGCCGCGCCGCCGGAGCCCGATTTCTGTTCTTATCCTGAAGCAAAGTTCTTAACCTAAAGCACTATTTCTGGCTTAGTGGAGTATGTAACCTGAAGCGTATGTTACCTGAAGCGTATGTAACCCGAGGTACCACTGTACTTCTTCCCACTGCACAGAGTTAAATAATGGAATTCCTTCCCACAAAATGTGATAATGGTGACAAACACCTTGGGAAAGGATTAGACAAATTCAGGGAGCATTGGTCTCCAATGGCTACATTTCCTCCATAATAATATGCTGATTTAGGTTTATAGGTTCATTTCTTTTATTCCCACCTATAAATAATTATATTAAACCATTTCCCTAGCAGTCAGAAATAATTACTGTAATTTAGATAGAAGTACAATGCGTTTCATCATAGTGGGTAAGGCTGCGGCTAGGTGATCTGCATACCTGCTCAGTCTGCTGTTCAAGTGCTTCTACCTGCTGATGGGAAACTCTTTTATCCTTAAACTGGACTTTGATTGGACAGCACTTCGAATGGAAGGTGTCTTTGAGAGAATTGTAAAGTAGGGCATGCAGCCACCTTATGGATGTTAGAATTCCTGCTCCATGATTGCAGTCATGGGATTGTTGTCTTTCACAGGATGGTATATGTTTTGACTCCACAGAGTGGGAAGTGACGGAGACAGGATGTTTGTGTTACTGTGTTCTGTGAAGTTGGACTATTGTCCTTTGTCCTTTTTCTCTTTGCTGTCTGATGCTAGAGAGAGAGGGAGCCATGTTGCAGTGCTCTGTGTGTGTTTATATGTAAATAAAGTAGATTAGCCAAAATGCTGAGTTGCTGAGGTCTGTCACACATGATGCGCAAACTCTGTGGTTCCCTAAGTGTGCCGGTGCTGGTTGGCATCGGTCACTGTGATGTTCGGGGTGAAGAAAGCTTATGAAGCTCCCGAACGATCGACCAGGAGGGAGGGAACATGCCAGTCGGGCATGTGTCTCTACCAGGGTGCTACTCGAGTGTAGGCTGAACTCCTGACAATGAAAAGGTCTCAAGGAAAACCACAACTCACTTCCAAGCGGGATTGGACATACCCTTCCCAGTAGCCCAGCAACAGGGTGTTACACTGTTAGCACATTAAGGACATCCTTGGTGGATCACAGCAGCCAACCAGATGATTACAGTAAGCCCCAAAGCAGGACCTGAGTGAAACAACACTTCTCCGTCCTGCTGTTTCCAGCAGCTGGCATTCAGTAGTATTGCTGTCTCCAACAGCAGAGGTGGAACATAGCCATGGGTAGCTTTATCCTCCATGAATTTGTCTATAAGAACATTGAGATTCAGTGCACCACAGCATGGGATGTTGTTGTGTTGAGGAGCTAGATTGAGTGAGCAAGAATGAGTCCTGACAGGAAGTCAAAAGTACTTCAGAGGATTCAAGGACAGCCCACCTCTGGTGGGTTCTCCAAGAAATTTACTCTTCAGACCTGGCAAGCTTTGAACTGAATCGTGTGAGGAAATGGCACAAGCAATATTTCCTTCTTTGGTGCAGCGAGAAAGCTCTGAGCCTGGGTAATAAATTGGAGATGACAGAACACCTGAGGAAACCTTGTAGTGGGTTAATCATACCGGAGCAGCATCGCTGGGGGACAGAGAGGCGGGCTGTGGGCTTGGTTTGAGTTACTCAGATAGGAACTCGTTTTCTGTCAAATGTAATTCAGGAAGAACCCTCTCTGTGGATCGCCTCCCTTCCTTTGCACACAGAAGCCCAAATCGTTTTTGATGTTTACAAGTCTGTGGCAGTCACTGCTTGCCTTTGCTGAGTCCCCCCCCCCACTCTCTGGGGGGCTATGCTGGCAGCACATGAATACCAACTAGTTCCTTTTTATTCCTTTCAATGTAGGCACCAACTTCTTGCAAGAGGTCGGGCCTTGCAGCGAGCAAAATTGCTTATGTCAAGGTTAACCCCTGCCCACCGCTGACTTTTGCTCAGCAAAACATCTACCAAGTTGATGGCGGTGGTGATTTATTTCCAAAGCGCCTAAAAGTTTCTAGGCACGGTACACATATTAAAGGAGACAGTAGCTTACAAAATATGGAAAGGAAAGGAAAAGGAACATTCAAAGCAGCTCACAAAATATTGAAGAACATATAATATTGGAAATTGGCTTACACACCCAAACACATATGCATAACAGACACACACCAGTAAGGAGACAGAATATAACCAGCAGGAGAAAATACAGCAGACAAAAGCTAACCTTATTTTCCAAAAGCCCACTAAACCTACAGTGTTTTACATGGCACCTGAAAGACTAGGAATGGGCCTCTCATGGGAAGCAGTTCTAAAACCTGGGTGCAATGACCGAAAAGGCCCCGTCCCATGTAACTATCCCTTAACCTCCACAGTTTTATTTTTAAAAATTATTTTATTAAAAGAATTTCAGCTATAGAAAATAAATGAATGAAAAACAAAAGAGAAAGATAGTGCAAAGATACAATAAGAAAAAATAATATAATGCACTAAATATAACATTTATATAATTATTATATAGATATATAAATAGTATTATTGTCCTAATACATATATGATTATTGATAACCTACTGTATTCTGTATAAACTTGTTCCAAATGTCAAATATATTTGTCCAAACAAAGCCTGTGTCTATAAGTTGTCTGTTCACATGTTGCTAGTATTGTCATCTCATCAATCCATTGATTAAAAGGGATCATATCTTTATTCTTCCCTAACCTCCAAAGCTGAGCATTTATTTTTAAGTGCGGAAATCAAGATCAAGGGACCTTTTCAACGGGATCACACTGAAGCATGGTGATGAAACCAAATAATTTCTGAAATCCAGTGAAAGATACATTTTCCCCTTGGGAGTCCATGGTGCTAGGAACACACCATACATTTAAAGCATTCTTATACCACTTTAGCAATCATGGCTTTTGCTAAAGAACCCTGACAGCTGTGCTTTGCTAAAGGTCGTTAGAAATTGCAGCTCTGTTGGGAGTGTGTGTGTGTGTCTCCTAACAATCTCTCTGCACCCTTAACAAACTAAAATTCCCAGGAGTCTTTGGGGGAAGTCATGGCATCACAGTGCTTTACGGATGCTGTGGGTAGTTAGTTGGTGTTGTGAATTAGGTTTAAAGGGAATTGTACCTGTTGGTTTGTTTTTTAAAACATTCCTATTTATTATTGTTGTATCTGATTACTTTTACCTCGTACAGGCACCATTGTCCCACTTTGGGGGAGATGGATGTATTTATGACAGCGCCAGTCCATCAGCCTTTTCCTTTCATGATGCTGGCCTATAAGAAGACTGTGCATTGATTCCAATTTCATCCAGAGGGCAATTTGGCTCTGAAGAAGCTACTCATAATTATCTAGACAACATTTCCTCAGAGAACGAGGCTTACAGCCCAATTATGCAGCAGCTCGCAGATTCAAGCAGTCGCTTCCAGTGCCAGGGCATAGAGGCAATCTGCAGCTGCTAGCAATTTTTCAGGGTGAACAGAGCAAAGGTGTGAATCTCTGCTTGCCCCCCCCCCTGCAGCTAAAGCTGTCCCAAAGGACTTGGAAGCTCAGGTAATGCGTTGGACTTGGGACAAATTGACATAATAAAAATGCCTACGATAAACAAAACACGGCATGTGATATATATGTGTTGCCCTTGCCATGCCACCCTAGCCATTGAAAGCCAGCCTTATGAAAAGGTAGAGCTTTGTGGAATACACAGGGTTGGATCCAGACTAAGGGGGAACTCCTGTGGCAAGACCTTCTGGGATGAAAAGTTTAGGATACATTGGATTTCTGGCTCAGCTTGTGTAAGGTGTTCATCTCAGTTCAGCCAGCGCTCAGTCCCTCAGATGTGGTATGATGGGGGTGGAATCAGAGAGGGAGGACTCTGGTTGGCTCCTCAGCCCATTCAGCTTAGTCACATGACCTGGCAACCTAGCGTAGAGCACTGTTTTAAAAGCTTGTGTAGCCTTTGCCAGGTTTCGGCAAACCAGCCGCCGCCCCGCTACTAAGAGCCAACACACCAATGAGGCACAATAAGGCCTCCGCTCAGGCAGCAGAAGACCCTGAGGCAATGCCTCCTGGGTGTTATGCCTGCTGTGCTGATGTTGTTTGGAAAGCATTGGTGCTGATTTCAGCTTGGACGGTGCCAATTTCCAGCAACACCTCAAACAGTGCCAGATCTTGTGGAGCACATGAGAGCTCATGCAATTTGGGTGAGATCTTGCTGGAAATTGGTGCAATCTCACCCAAAATGGTTGCCAATGCTAGCGCCGCTTCTGTGGGGCAGGCGCCTCAGGCGGCACTTCCTGTTTTGCCTCAAGTGGCAAAATGGAACATGCAGCCACTGTTGCTACTGAATAGGGTTTGGATCTGGTGTAGTTTTAAGCTGGCCTAACTTATACCAGATTGACATACACAAGTTTCTTGGACATAGGATTGCTACCTCAGGTCCCACTGACACCAATCGGACATGGCTTTGTCATGCCGAATGAAGTGCTGAAACCTGCCCTGCAGTTTTGTGAATATTTTCTTCCTCCAGTTTTCAGTCTCATTCCCAGGGCAATTTAGAATTTCTTTATAATTTGGTGGCTAAAGGGTTGAGCTGATCTTATGATTTCCCCTGCACTCAACATTTCTCCAGCACTCTTGCAACCTTTCTGATATGACAAAGGCCCCTATGAGAAGTTACCTCATAGTGTCTTACCCTCAGCTTTGAAGTGAGGGTAGCTGGGAAGGCTGGCGACTGAGCACCCGAGACCAATGCACTGACTTACTTCATTTTTTAAGGTAAGTTCTTCCTTTTACCTTACATTTCCCCCCACATTTATTTCTATAACAGTAATAAGACCCTGCTTTAAGAAATAACAACAAACAGGTGCCAGGTGTGTGAGAAGCACCATCCCTGCCTTTCTGTGCTTACAAGAAAGCCTAGTTGGAGATATCATGAGCTTTCCAGGAACTATGGGCACCCAGGAAGGCTGCAGAGCACTGGAGAGATATTATTTGCAGAATGAAAGGACAGATACTCACAAAGCCCCTCAGGCATCTTGATAGTCAGGGAAGCAAAACAAAAGCCCCACGCATCCTACCATGACAATGTCGCTTTAAATTTTCTCTCCCCTTTGATAACTCTCAGAAGCAGTTCATTTTCTCATTAACTGAGAGAAAATGGTAAAAAAAAAAAAATGCTGAAGAAATTTTCAGTGCTGCCTTAGTCACGATTCACTTTTCAAAACTGGATTTTAATAGTATTGATGTTCAACTTAAACATCCTTTGAGTCTGGCAAGTTTCCAGTGGAAAAGCGTGACAGTGGCAGCTGGTAGCTTCAATAGCTTTTTGAAAAATACACAGATTCATGGTCAGGGAGCCAATTCCTATATTGTAGGAATGTGATTGCTAAAGGGAGTCTCCACACAGCATTCCTCAAGCTGCCACATGATGGAGACAAGCAAAAGGGGAGAACTGTATCTCCTGTATTTTTTGCTTATGATCACCCAGGGCTGGCCATTGTCAGGTTAAAGAATGCTGGACTAGACAGATCAGCAAGACACTTTATGTTTCTATAGATTACAATGTTTTTTGTGGGAGTACATAGAAAACTGTGTTGTACCAATCACAACATAGGTCCATCAGTATTGTCAATATGGACTGGGACTGGCACTCCAAGGTTTCATACAGGAGTCTTTCCCAGTCCAACCTAGAGATGCTCTGGACTGATCTTCTCTGCAAAGCATGCTCTCTACCACTGAGCTATGGCCAATCTCCAGGTAGGGGAATCAATAAGGCACCAGTAATGCCAAACCACAGAACCTAGGGCTTGCCGATCAGAAGGTCGATGGTTCGAATCCCCGTGACGGAGTGAGATCCCATTGTTTGGTCCCAGCTCCTGCCTACCTAGCAGTTTCGAAGGCACGTCAAAGTGCAAGTAGATAAATAGGTACCGCTGTGGCAGGAAGGTAAATGGCGTTTCTCTGCGCTGCTCTGGTTCGCCAGAAGCGGCTTAGTCATGCTGGCCACATGACCCGGAAGCTGTACGCCGGCTCCCTCGGCCAATAAAGCGAGATGAGCGCCGCAACCCCAGAGTCGTCCATGACTGGACCTAACGGTCAGGGGTCCCTTTACCTTTACTAATGCCAAAAAGCACACTCATCCAGTGAGAGAACCAGTTATTGTATTACCAACCATCTCTGGTGTTTAGACTTGAAGGGGTGGGAGCTCTTTGTAGTTTTGCCACCCTCAGAAGAGTGGAAAATGACAGCCCACGGGGACAGTTTCTCTGTGGCAGCTCCTAAATACTGAACCATGGAAAACCAGTAACCAGAAAAGGAGGCCTCTGTTGGTCTAGAGCAAAGGACTATCTAGCATGGACTTTCAAGTGTCCCTAGTTTCCAGGGACAGTACCCGGATTTATGCAACCCCCGAGCCAAGAGATGAGTAACTATACAACTATTAGAAGAACACCTGAAGGGCAGCCATTTACAGTGGTACCTCCAGTTGTGAATGGGATCCGCTTTTGGAGGTCCGGCTGGATCCCGAGGTTCTGCGCATGCGCTGTGGCGGTAGACTGCTTCTGTGCATGTGTGCACAGCGAAACCCGGTCTGATACTCTGAGTTTGCCGCTTTCCGTAACGTGAAGTTTACATAACCAGGGGTTATAAGGAATTTAATGTTTCATTATGTTTTTATATATGATGGAAGTCATCTAGAGTGGCTGGGACAACCCGGTCAGATGGGTGAGATATAATAGTAATAATAGTAATAATAATAATAATAATAATAATAATAATAATAAATAAAATAAAATAAAATAAAAAATAAAAAAATAGGTAAGGTAAAGGGGACCCCTGACCGTTAGGTCCAGTCATGGACGACTCGGGTGTTGCGGCACTCATCTCGCTTTACAGGCCGAGGGAGCCGGCGTACAGCTTCCAGGTCATGTGGCCGGCATGACTAAGCCACTTCTGGCGAACCAGAGCAGCACACGGAAACGCCATTTACCTTCCCGCCAGAGCGGTACCTATTTATCTACTTGCACTTTTGAGGTGCTTTCGAACTGCTAGGTTGGCAGGAGCAGGGACCGAGCAATAGGAGCTCACCCCGTCACGGGGATTCGAACCGCCAACCTTCTGATTGGCAAGTCCTAGGCCACAGCGCCACCCGCCTCCCTAATAATAATAAATAGGATGTCCCTATTTTTATCAGAGAAATGTTGGAGGGTATTCTAGTCTGGCATTATGTCTCCCACCATAATTTTATCCTCATATCCTCGTACTCTGCCTTGCTATATCTTCAGAAAAGTGCGGATTATAAATTTGCTAATAAATAAATAAATATAAAATAAAGACGCAAAATCCACTAAACAAAACAAAAACCAAACCCAAACAAATCTCCACCCAGCTGCATTTCTCAATGGGGAAAAATACAAAGTTAGAGGATGCTAAATGACCTGCCTGCATTAGCCTCAGAAGCAATGCAGGCGGTTCTTTGCTGAAAACCCAGAGCCACGTTACCGATAGCTCTGACTGCCATTCAAGGATGCCTTTGAAAGCGGACAATTGCTAGCAATATACCCCTCAGTACAAAACACAGCAGACCTGCGGTTGTTCCAAGTAGGTCACAGGGGACTTATCTCTCCTGTCACTTTTGTTAACAAAACATGGCAGCAAACAATTGCAAAAGAAACAGGGCAGCCAACCGCCCCGGAAAAAAATATATATTGCAAAAATAAAATAAAAATGCCGCCGATCGGAAAAGCCTCTGAAGTCTCGAAAACCTGCTCTGTGGATTCTATACTTTACTCAGCATAATGGGTAATCCAGCCCTGTCTGAATAACTTCCTCTCCTTTTGTTACTGCTGTATGATAACTATTAAAAAATGGACAGAGCTTTCACCGCATCATCCTTTTAGCCGGCCACAGGGTTAGGGAAGCAAAAGCAAAACCCATCACAGTTTGTATTTTATATTAATACCTCAAATCCCTGAGGTCTTCCCAGGCTTTCTTTGCTATGTCTCCACGCAACAAGAATCTCCGAAACAGACAATCCTGTAGCCTGGACATCAGTTGGAGCAGCGCTGGGTTCTGTAGGTAAGGGGGGGGGGAATGAAATAGTGAACTTCATCTGGAACAAAATAGCAGAGCCAAATTTGTCATATACTTTCCCTTTAGCCTCTCTTATTGCTGGGGATAAAACTTCACAGTTGTCCTGAGCATCAGCAAAAGCGACACAATGAAAACTGTTATTTCCATTGCTTTCCTTTATGTCACATCCGTTCATATCCCTATTACCGACAGGCCCAGAGAGATGGGCTATTGAGAACTCAGATGCCTACGCCACAGCCCACATGCATCTAAATGTTTTGTGACAAACTAGCACAATCCTAAGCGTTTATGATCAATGTGGTGCGTGGGAAGAGAGGGTTGATTATTACCGTGGTTGCTTCCAATATTAAAGCATTTATAGCCAACTTTTCAAAACATGCACTGAAGGAGGCCTACAGTAAAATAGTCGTGATGCAGTCACAATATGACACCTGGATAACACATCAAACCTAAGTTCCTATGTTTTCATAGCATGAAACAAGAAATGTTATGGAGTCAGAGAAATATTATGCTTCGATGTTTTCCACCCAATATGATTTTCTGTGCAGTAAGTGTGCCTTGTTTTCTGTTTTATGCAATTCAAAGATTTGTACATTGAAAGCCATTTCCTGGATTTTATATCATTGAAGCAATTACCTTGTTGTCAGGGAAGATTGCGGCAGGACAAATAATTTGCAAGCTCCCCAAAATGGTGGGCGGCAGTTTTCTATAAATGTGGAAATTATTTCCCTTTCACAGAACTGTGTTGCTCCAAATGGAAAGCGAGGAGACCAAAATATAAATAGCTTTTCCCCATATGGGAACAGAAATCAAGTCTTTTTGCTTAATACAAGAAACAAATGCTTGCTTTTTTGTTGCATTGCACGCCGTTATTCACTGGGCTTTCACCAATGCTAGACACTAAAATGCAAATTTGCAGGAAAAGGTTGGGAATGCACAATCTATGAATAAGCTCTGGTATAATTTTCTGAAAGTTTATGGAGATGGAATGGTAGCTTTTATTGATTTGGACTGGAAAAAGAGACCATCAAATCTGCTGTGAGATGAAATAGCCCATAACTCAGTACATTGCTGAATGTTGTTTGACTAACACTAAGAATAAGATTGATAGGTCCATTAGGTTTGCCTATAATTGTTGCCAGTGTTATGATCATAACCTTTTATTAATATTCCAGCATCAACTTCCAACTATAAATGCCTTTGTAGAACTGTGCAGATGAAAGGTCCAATATCTATAAAAGTTCTTTTCATAATATTTAAGATATTATGCACAGGGTCTCAGCTACACTGTTTTCTCATTTGCAAAGGCCATCATCTGGACTTCCATGTTTAGTTTACCATAGATAGCTGTTGTATCTAAAACTAATGGGAGAGCTTCATTCATTAAGTGAAAATGAGCCTTGGAAAGGTAATCAGTGGGTATCTCTTTACTTAAAAAATTGTGTCTGTTTAATACTAGTTTGCCATGGGAAGCCCATGTTGTGAATACTCCTAAGTATCCACAGGAACATAAAACAAGCCTGCTGGAACAAGCAAATGGCAGCTGGTTACTCCTGCCATAGCCTAATTATTATCAGCTTGCAGTGATAAGGAGGGAAGCTTTGCTACTGGTACCTCTGACGTTATGGAAGTCACTTCCTGCTGAAATATGAAAGGATCCATCTGCATTGGCATTTTGCTGGCTTTTGAAGACACGCCTGTTTACACAGACTTTCTCTTGATCTCTCAAGTGGAGTCTTCTGTTTAATTACTTTTCTGTTCTAATGGGATTGTTTTATTACATATTTCAATCTTTAAATGGGATTTTTTTAATTGTCTATTTTAATTACGGACGCTTATAATCCGTTTGTGATCTGTTTTTATACTTGTAAACTGCTTAGTAGCCTATTTGGGCATTCAGCAGCGTATTAATTAATTACAGACATCTGATTTTTAAAAAATGGGAGTGGAAGATTGGGTTCACCAACTCACCTCCCTCTGCAGAGCAAATGACTACGATAGGACTGAATGGCCCATCTCCTTTGTTGTTGTAAGCGCCAACTTTCACTTCGAATGGAGTCAGTGGAGGCACACTCTCGTCTCTGTAGATGAACTTGGACGCATCGGAAGAGGTTACCATTTTTTCCTTCCAGCCTCTTGTCCCGTTGGGCCGGAAGGCTACTATGTACCCAAAGCTTTCTCCATTCTGGAACTCTTCAGAAACTGGCTAAAGAAAGATGAGTTTGGTTATTCCTCTGGTATGAAGTGGAAGATAATCTGCCCAAAGCTATTTCTTGGATAATATTGCTACCATGACTACTACGGTGATTAATTTTTACCTGCCCTTCACTCTGAGATCCCAGGGCAGGCTATCACAATTTAAACACAATGTTAAAAACAGATTAGGACAACTTAAAAAGGTCAAGGTAAAGGACCCCTGATAAGTCCAGTCGCAGACAACTCTGGGGTTGTGGTGCTCATCTCGCTTTACGGGCTGAGGGCATTTGTCCGCACACAGTTTTTCCGGGTCATGTGGCCAGCATGACTAATCTGCTTCTGGTGAAACCAGAGCAGTGCATGGAAATGCCGTTTACCTTCCTGCCGGAGTGGTACCTATTTATCTACTTGCACTGGCATGCTTTCGAACTGCTAGGCTGGCAGAAGCTGGGACCGAGCAACGGGAGCTCACCCTGTCATGGGGATTCGAACCGCCAACCTTCTGATCAGCAAGCCCAAGAGGCTCAGTGGTTTAGACCACAGCTCCACCCGTATAAATAAGGCGGATCCTAAAAATATGCATCTCGAGTGTCAAGAACCAAGTAAGGAGGGGTGTCTGCAACCTTCAAAGTGACACAATATTGGAAGGGAAAGGTTAAGGGGATAGCATTTGGGACACTGCTAGCATGATGAAGCTCACTCAGCTAGTTGAGACAAGCAGCCCAGTACTCAGAAAGTCCCACTGAGTTCAGCGGGACTTATTCATGAGGGTTAATAAGATGGCAAGCTTTTGAGAAGGAACAGGAAAAGATGGAACTTTATAATGCACTAGGATGCCAAATTTTCAGGCAATGTACGGCTGTATAATATACTTTAATTGTTGGAAGATACTTTCTCCTTTATAATGTTAGCTTCATGTAAAACAACAACAACAACAAAGGGTTGGATCTGGACTTTTAGAACAGTTGAAAAGTTACACTGGGCTATGCAGGATTGGGATTGAGCAAAGTCCCCCTCCACAGAGCTGTCCCCCTTTTGGTTGCAGTCCTGCTAGGTTTACTCATAGGTAAGTCCAAATGAATTCAATGGTGCTTACTCCCAGCTAAGAGGGGTTAGGTTTGCTGCTAAGTACAGCCATTGAACTGAATGGCATTTAAGTTGGTCATGACTTTCCATTGTGTTCAATGGAACTATTCAAAGGGTGACAAAGGGAACAATCCCTATGCACAAAAAGGTGGCGTAAGACACGCTGGTGTAAGTTACATCTGGGTCAAGTTACACGAGATCCAAAGCTTGTTGAGAAGCAAGGCTGCTGCTCGGCCTAAGACTGGCAGAGAGAAAATGTGATTCTAAAACTGTGTTCTATGCCAGGTTCCCAGGTTACATGACCAAGCTGAACAGACTTAGGAACCAGCCTAAGTTTCCCCTCGCTGTTCCTGCTCTAGCTGCCCCCATAGCTGCTCATCCTGGTGGATCTTGCCATAGGATTGCCCCCTAAGTCTGGATCTAACCCAGAAACAAACATTTAAATCACCATATTCATAAATAAACAAATGAACAGAATACGTTTAAACGCCCAAGCCAAACTTTCGATATAATTTGAGACTTTGGCCTCAAATTATGCTGTCTGAGGGGGAGAAAACTTCCAGTTATCGTTGTCCGCCTATTAAATGGCGTTCCGGCGTTTTTCTTTTAACTATAACACAGTGAGAATTGTTGGAAGGACCACTGATTTTCATAATTCCTGGCATTATTTCCTGACATTTTGAAAATGAGATGCCTGACTATCACTCCGGTTAGGAGAGCTACTGCTAGCAGGCATCATCTCATTTCAAGGAAATCCTCAAAGTTTGCTGCTGCATTGTAGAGTTCAGTGCTGCTGGCATGAATCGCAAGGCTCTCAACCAGACGAAACATGGCGTTTTTAATTGGCACCAACGGGAGCCTTCTTCCCATTGTATATAGTAGGCATTTGGGGTGTGGGTATGTGGAGAGATCCATTTCCAATCTATACGCCATGCTCTGGTAACTTCCAGACTGGATTATTGCAATGCGCTCTATGTAGGGCTGTCCTTGAAGGTGACTCAAGTTGGTCCAAAATGCAGCAGACAGATTACTGGCTGGGGCAGGCACAGGCAAACTCGGCCCTCCAGATGTTTTGGGACTACAACTCCCATCATCCCTAGCGAACAGGACCAGTGGTCAGGGATGATGGGAGTTGTAGTCCCAAAACATCTGGAGGTCCAAGTTTGCCTATGCCTGGGCTGGGGTTCCATATAACAGTTCATTTCCGGGTTGAACAGTTCCGGGTTGACAGTTCATTTCCGGGTCAAATTTAAGGCGCTCGTGCTAGTATTTAAAGCTCTAAATAGTCCTTTTTATAATGTACTCGGCAGATGGAGAATCACAAGCAGAGCCGTAGCTAGGTGATCTCGCGCTCCTGGCAGAACTGTCCAGATTGTGCCTCCTAAAGGTAAAGGTAAAGGTAAAGGGACCCCTGACCATTAGTTCCAGTCGTGGCCAACTCTGAGGTTGCGGCGCTCATCTCGCTTTATTGGCCGAGGGAGCCGGCGTACAGCTTCCGGGTCATGTGGCCAGCATGACTAAGTCGCTACTGGTGAACCAAAGCAGCGCACGGAAACGCTGTTTACCTTCCCGCCGGAGCGGTACCTATTTATCTACTTGCACTTTGATGTGCTTTCGAACTGCTAGGTTGGCAGGAGCAGGGACCAAGCAACGGGAGCTCACCCCGTTGTGGGGATTCGAACCACCAACCTTCAGATCAGCAAGTCCTAGGCTCTGTGGTTTAACCCACAGCACCACCCATGTCCCTGTGCCTCCTAGCCATGGACAAATTAGCTCTTTTTTCCACCTCTCCTCCAACCCTCCACCCATTCAATTCACCCTCTATTTAAACCTTTTCTTATGAGGCAATAATCAATATTTTGATTATACAGTAGGTGTATTGATGGACATATTTTTAGCCGATTTTGCGGGGGGGGGGGGCTCATCTGTGTCCCTGGCGGGGGCACACCTCACCACCCCCTAACTATGGCCCTGATCAGAAGTTTCTTCTTCTTCTTCTTCTTCTTCTTCTTCTTCTTCTTCTTCTTCTTCTTCTTCTTCTTCTCTGCTGTTTCTTATCTCTTTGTTCTCTCCTCCTTTTCCCCTTTCTCTCTCTCTCTCCTTCTTCTCTTTCTTTCTCTCTTTCCTCTCTTTCTTGTCTTTTCGATTCTGTTTCTCCTCCATGAGTGCTATCTGATACAGAGGAACTCATCTTATTTTTTATTAATTTTTATGTTCATCTTAAAGATTGTAGGGAATGCAAGAGATTTAATTGGAAACGCAGGGGTCAGCAAAGTCCAAAGGCACACTTTTAAGATTAAACAGCAAAAACAGCACTATAATTTAAGGCAACTTGCTGCGATCTCTTCAGTATTTATTTATTTACTTATTTAAAATATTTATAGGCCGTTTTCCCAAGCAAACCTCCCCCAAGGTGGCTTCCATGGTAAGAATGTCCAAAATACAGAAGCAATAGAAAATAGAAATGCAAAATGCACTAAAAGTTAAATGAGCTAGCAATAATAAAACACCCGCCCAGCAAAGATAAAACCCAGTTTCCCTATTCATTGAGTTCATAGAGCAATATAGCAAAAGAAATAGAGATCACACACAGGCCTCCTGAAACAGGCAAATCTTCAGATTATAGCGGATTAAGGATTATAGTGCGGTGATTTTCCAGAGGTTTATTATTTTATTTACAAATCTATAACCCGTACTTTCATAAAAATATAGCAAGGTTGAGGATGACCTATAAGGATAGAATGAAGAAAAGAGCCACAAAAACATCCACAACACTTCAATAAATATCAACAAATACCGACTGGTTAAAAGATAAATCATGTTGTAAAAGCCTGCATAAGCAAGCAAACAAAAATGTTTTCAAAATACATTTGAGGGAAGGGAGGGATGGTTTCCATCAAACCTCTAGTGGCAGGGAGTTCCACAGGACGGGGTCTGCCATACTAAAGGCACGGTCCCTCGTGAAGGCCAACCAAACCTCAGGGAGGGAGGAGAAAGAATCAGCATGTTTAGTGAAGCAGGATGGTTTAGTGAAGAGAGCTAGGTCCACACTCCTGCCTAGGAATGGGCGAATCTGTCAATTTCGGGTCTCATTTTTCCAATCTTAAATTCAGTTCTCCACATTTTGGAGCAATTTGAATTTATTTATTTATTTTTAAAGGTCCTCATGAAAATTCACCAGCATTTTCGTCTGAATTTCTTCCAAAAAGCACATTTTTGCATGCAGTTTCGACGAATTCATACATTTTTTGCAAGCATTCCCCACCCCCATAGAATGTACTTTTTCCATTTTATTTTGACTAATACCTTCACCTTGGAGTTGTTTTTTTTTTGTACTTCTCCTAATACATGCATTTTTGCCAAAACTGGTTGGAGAGTTGCATCGCAACATTCAGATAAAGGCGAATTCTGAAGGACAGCTGCGTTTGGGTTCCACTCCTTGTTTCAGAAAGTGGTGAATTTGATCCATTCAACGTTAAATGCAAACTGAACCAGATTTCTTCCTCATCCCAGTTCTACTTTTGTGGACTCTCCTTCCTTGGAGGTTTTTATGCAGAGGTCGGATGGCCATCTGTCCTAGCTGCTTAGCTGAGATTCCTGCATTGCAGTGGGTTGGACTAGATGGCCCTAGGGCAGTGGTTCTCAACCTCTGGGTCCACAGATGTTGTTGGACTACAACTCCCATCATCCCTGAGCTCTGGCCTTGCTAGCTAGGGGTGATGGGAGTTGTAGTTCAACAACATCTGGGGACCCACAAGTTGAGAAAGGCTGCTCTAGGGGGTCCCTCCCAGCTCTGTGATTACAGACACTGCAGAAGCAATTGCAGCAGTGGGGTGAGGGAAACTTGGTGGTGTTAACTTGTTGCTTAATATCAGATATGGATGCTGAGTTTGCTCCTTGGTTATCCCAGGTTGTGGTTTAAGTCCCAAATAATAAACCAGAATTAATTTGAGGGGTTCTGCTGGACTCTCCACAGGATCTCCAAATGACTGCCACTTCCTCTTCATGTTAAATTGGGCACCGCGGGGAGATTTTAACCGACATTTAAGACCTGATCTTCTGAGTGCCTCTCTTGACAGGCTTTGCTGTGGGGAAACCTCTGCGCAGATCTCTGTACCCTGCTCTCAAAGAAGTCAACATAAAATGAGGCCTTTAATCAAAAGAGCTCCTTACCTCCCATGCTATTACTAATTCATGCCTTCTTCCACTTCTGCCACTTACATTAGCAGGAGCTGTCTTTGGAACTGTGAACAAAAGAGAGAGAGGGGGAGAAGGGGGAAAATTGAGAACAAGCTAGTTTGTGAAGTCAACCCCCTTGTCAAGAAGATGATGCATCCTGGGCAAATCAGGTAAAGGGAAAAAAATCAAATGAAGGAAAATGCTGCTATCTGTGGTTGGATTCTATTTCGAGTAGAAACCCAATTATCCTGATGCACTGCGCCAGGAAGATTTTGGGCATCACCTGGAAGGACAGAGTCTCAAGCCTACATTCCCAGCATGGTTGCATGCCTTTCTCAGCGACGTCTATGCTGGCTTGGCCATGCCCACAGAATGGGAAATCAGTATAAAGTAAGCAGCACATAAGCGGCACGCAAAACACTAAAAAACCATTCTACATTCTAAATCTTATACTAATAATCCAAAAATTGAGAGAGCTATGTACAAGATCTACTGTATTTTTCGCCCTATAGGACGCACCGGCCCATAGGACGCACCTAGATTTTTGGGGATGAAATAAATGGGGGAAAAATACCCCCCCCCAGGCGCGGGGCTGGGGCGGGGGAAGCTCGGGCTTCCCCCGACGCCAGCCCCCAGAACAGGACCCAGAGCGATGCCGAAGCTGCGTGCGGGGCTGGCGATGGGGAGGAGCAGGCTTCTCCCCCCGCCAGCCTTCTAACCAAGTTGGGGGACAGCAGGAAAGGCGCGCTGCGCCTCCCGCTGTCCCCCGAGTTTGCGGGGATGGCGATGGGGAGGAGCAGGCTTCTCCCCCCCCGCCAGCCTTCTAACCAAGTCGGGGGACAGCGTGAAAGGCGCGCTGCGCCTCCTGCTGTCCCCCGAGCTTGTGGGGCTGGCGGTGGGGCTCTCCTGAAGCCTGGAGAGCGAGAGGGGTCGGTGCGCACCGACCCCTCTCGCTCTCCAGGCTTCAGCGAAAGCCTGCATTCGCCCCATAGGACGCACACACATTTCCCCTTCATTTTTGGAGGGGAAAAAGTGCATCCTATAGGGCGAAAAATACGGTACTACAGAAGCCACAAACAGAAAACTCATTTAAATTGTGTCCAAAAGGAAGATACAGTCTTTAAATGTTCCTTTAGCCAGCCTCCTGTAGATATCAACAAAGGTAAAGGTAAAGGTAAAGGTAAAGGGACCCCTGACCATTAGGTCCAGTCGTGACCGACTCTGGGGTTGTGGCGCTCATCTCGCTTTATTGGCTGAGGGAGCCGGCGTACAGCTTCTGGGTCATGTGGCCAGCATGACTAAGCCACTTCTGGCGAACCAGAGCAGCACACGGAAACGCTGTTTACCTTCCCGCTGTAGTGGTACCTATTTATCTACTTGCACTTTGACGTGCTTTCAAACTGCTAGGTTGGCAGGAACTGGGACCGAGCAACGGGAGCTCACCCCGTCGCGGGATTCGAACCGCTGACCTTCTGATCGGCAAGTCCTAGGCTCTGTGGTTTAACCCACAGCGCCACCCGTGTCACAAATAAACAAAGGTAAGTTGGATCAAATGGAGTGTCAGTGATGTACGCGCAAGGGTTAAAGATCAACGAGGATAAGTTTGATCAAACGAAGTGTTGGTGATGTTACGCACAAGAGTTAGACGGGTTCTGGCGTTTGTCACCTGTTTCACTCATGAAGAGTCTCGGGCTTCTTCAGTAAATTCTCTCTCACGGTTTTGATATATTTATAAACATTCAAGTCCATATGCTACATTTCTTCTTAGATTAAGCTACAATATTTAATTTCTTTCTTCAGGAAATTCTCCCTCAAGATTTTGGTGTATTTACATACATTCAACTTCTTTCTTGACTTAAGCATTTATTCATTTACTAAGCCAGAATGGGAATGGGAAATGGCAGGATCCCCAAGGTGTTCTATGGGGAACTGGCTTCAAGCACCAGGTGGGTTTACTGACCAACTCTGTGTTATAAAGATGTCTGCAGACATGGCATAAAGGCTGCCAACACCAACCCCGCCATGTGGGAACCCCTTGCAGACGACCACGATGCTTGAGTCAGGCTGTGTATGTGCAGCAATGACCAGAGGAGGAATGACTGTTTGGAGGAACACAGAGAGGAGAAATGCCATGGTGCACCTGTAGCAGCACAACCAGATGCCTTCATCTTCCCCAGCTGCAACAAAACATGTCTCTCCCCTATCAGTCTCTATAGTCTCTGCAGCAGACTGACTTCATTCCCAAAGGCGCACTCCTCCATTGTCTCCTGAGACTGATGGGATGCCCAAAAAACCAAAAAACCAACACCAATTCCCAAGCAGTGAGAAGCTTCAGGGGTGCAAGCTCTTACCTTGGTTTCAGTTCCCTTGGAATACAGGTCACTGGAGATTGCAGTGTCCTTTTGATATATATACACATATATATAACTTGACACATGCACACAGTTCCTCCTTCTAGAGCAGGCATAGGCAAACACGACCCTCCAGATGTTATGAGACTACAATTCCCATCATCCCTGACCACTGTTCCTGTTAGCTAGGGATGTTGGGAGTTGTAGTCCCAAAACATCTGGAGGGCCGAGTTTGCCTATGCCTCTTCTAGAGGCATGACTAGCTAGTTGTTTCTGTGGCAACACATCTGTACTTGGCCAACACATTAGCTATGTGAAAGGGATGCTCAATTGATTTTTAATTTAACAAAGGGTTTGGCCACTTCAGCAGTTCCTTCTACTACAGACTACAGGCCCTGGCCCTGGTGGAGGATAATCTGACTTCCTTAGGGCCCAAGACCTCTAAACTATGATTATTCATGGACCTTAAGGTCCTCTGCGGGGCATACCAGGAGAGGCTTTCATTGTTATACTTATAGGAGTGCTTTCATTGTTATTCTTAGACAACTTGAGAACACAAGCAATTGTGGGTCAGAATTCATATCTTCTTTTTTTAAGTAAATGAACAAAACGTTATAGGCTTGTTGGGGTCAGCTTCAGGGACATCAGTTGCCCACCCCTAATTTATATAATGGCACAAAGCGATGGCATCCGAAGGCATAGCTGTCCCATGGCCTGTCTTTTGCTGTTGTCATTATCATGCCATTCCTTTACTAGTCCTTTGGTAGATAATGGAGCTGCGGTAACGCAATCTATTAAATCAGTTCTCGAAAGAATAGCCTCTGTCCTCAATGGCTGCAAGGCTTGTGCTTTATTTATTCATCTGTCATTGGGCTGATTTAGAGCACCGACGCCCTTTGAAGCATCTGAGCTGATGGCCTTGTTTGTTACTCGGCCGGAGATGAGCACCTTTCCAGACGATCGTTGGTAATAGCCTGGTAGGCTGAAGCCCTTCTTAAATGAGTAAATGTTAAAATAATAAACCTGTCCAAAGAATGGATCTCTGTCTGCCCTGAACTGTAAAATACAGAGACGTACAGGGAAACTCTCTGAAATGAATAAGCATTTTAAAAATAAATATGTCAAAGCAATATCCTCCCCCTCATTGCACCAAAGCAAAAAACCAACAACTTGCAGTCAGAGAATGAATACTCTTAAATGAATAAATGTTCAATGAAGAAAACTATTAAAATGAGCCATTTCCCCCTGCTTGTCACTAGAACTGGGGTTGTTTATGGGCAGTTTCCTCTGGAAATTCACTTAATATTATGGAATACGTTTTTCTACCAAGAACTATCTGCCCATAAGATATGTTTATTGCCACACAGTCAGTACCTAATTCCTAATCAAGATATTAATTATCAACAGCAATACACATACTGGTTAGTTTGGGTTTGATTGAGGCATTGGGTAAGCCTTTGTTTATTGGAGGGGAGGTTGTAGCCTCTGCCTGCTGCCCTTGATAAGGGTATCCTCTTAAAGGGATCTGGGTTTGTGTGGATCCTGTCCGAAGTCCAGATGTGGGCTAGGGCCATGCCATGACCCCAATGGGGACCTCTTGGGGTGCCCCTATTTCACGTAAGTCATAGGGCTCCTCCTTCTGGTAGTTTACCCTTAGTTGGACTCCCTGCAGACAGTCATGAGTCAAGATATACCTGGGCTTCACCCAATGCCTAAGCCAAACCGCTCACATCTGTAACCAAAAAAGTTGTGGCCTGTTTTAGCCCATTAACCTAAATACTCATCTTTGTGTGTTTATTATGCGCTCCATGCGGGCCTACCTTTGAAGGTGACTGGGAAACTGCAATTAATCCAGAATGCGGCAATTCCTAGAGTGGAGAGCACAACTATATAATAATAAACTAAATCAGGGATGGGCAACCATTTTCCTGTTGAGGGTAGCAATCCTTCAGAGTAATTTGTCAAGGGCTGCATGATGCCTATAGGCAGCACCAAGCACAGTGATGGGCAAGACCAATGCCCAAAGCAACCAGGGCCACCATCTCCCTCCCTCCCTCCCTCCCTCCCTCCCTCTCTTCCACCCCTTTCTCTCTTTCTTCTTCTGCACCCATTAGGTTGCCTGAGGAGAAAGAGATCACTCTTGTGAGCTGATTGATTGCAGAAGGCTTTTAAAATTAGGGTGAGGGCAACTTAAAATTAGGCGGATTGTCAGAGGTTGCCCATTCCTGAAATGAACAGATGACAATTGGCTTCATTTAAACAAAGCTCCAAAAGATACTGCCTGAGGCAGGCTGCTTGATTCTGTCTAATGCTGGAGCTGCCTCTGGCTGCTTCAAGGTCGACTTGCTGCTGCCTGTTCTTCCTGTATATTGGTAAATACTCAGATATTACTGAAGAGTTTCAAGTCCCAGTATTCCCTATACACTTGAAAAATGACACTGTACAGCTGTTTTGTAGCTTCATGCTGCCTTGGGAATGAGAAACATGAAACTACGGTTTGGAGCTTCAAAAATTAGCTCCCAAGTTCCTCCTTCCATTTCTGTGCTATGATTCTTTCCCTGACTTCCTGGTTCATGCAAACCACAGTTTGCTGTTACTTCCAAATCAGCAAACCTTGGTTTGCACTTGTCAGTTAATCAGAATCCAGATGTGTGCCTCAAATATATTTGGATCTCAATATTTGTCATAAGGACACTTCCAGCTATTCATATACA